AAATAAGCAAAAAAACAAACGAACAAAAAAAGAAGTGCTGAGTGTAAAAATACAGGGGGTCAGACCAGTATTGGGACCAGGGGTCTTGAATCCTGATACACATGTACTGACGACGCTCCAACCAACCGAGCTCTTCCATCTTTGCATATTGCAGAGTTATCTTCTCTTGTGAGCAGGTATTGATTGTTACGTCATTGGTTTGTTTGAGAAAATTACGTCTTTTTCTCAAAAATTGATGATGTTATTCTCACAAACAAATGACGTAACAATCAATACCAGCTCACAAGAGCAGATAACTCTGCAATATGCAAAGACGGAAGAGCCGGAGATTGGTAGAACTCCGGTCCAACTGTAGTTATTTCTGATATAAAATTAAGGGGTGGTTCAACCCTTTCACCACTGGAGACCATTATGGACTCATCCTGATCAATGCAGGGTAGAGTCTACTAAAGTTACATAGGGGTGAAAGGGTTAATACTGTTTGTATGTAAAACTGCAGCGGAGTTGTCTCATGTTTTGCCAACTTTGGAACAGGGATCCTTAATGTTTGTGATATTTTGGGAGTTGCCATTAATTTTATTTCACTTTGTCATGGGTCATCAGTTTTAGACGTCACACACTTACTAAAATTTCAAGGTATGCAATTTTAAATGACGATAAACTTGTGGCCCACTAAGTACCTCTTTTATTAATACTTGATAACAAATATGAGTTGATTAACCCCAGGAGCCTTTCCGTCTTGGTCCGTTCTCACAATTTAGTTTGTCACGTACTGACACAGATTTCACAGTAGTTGATAAAGACAATATTTTCAAGATAATTTTCATGACAATTTTCTCACAAGTGCACTGCTCTGCAGGTTCTTTAAATGTAAATTTTTACCTGTTTATAGTGGAACCTTGTTACTCAGGAGATTCTAATCTTCGTAAATGTGCGCTGCTCTGCTGGTTCATTAAATCCTCGAACATTTTTACCTGTTTGTAGTGGAACCTTGTTACTCAGGAGATTCTAATCTACGTAAATGTGCGCTGCTCTGCTGGTTCATTAAATCCTCGTACATTTTTACCTGTTTATAGTGGAACCTTGTTACTCAGGAGATTGTAATCTCCAGAATAATTCCAACGTATCACACTGTACTTAACATAAAACTGCACTGTGAGACCTAGTTAAATATCTGTTTTACACAGGTGTTCAGATTATACAGGTTTACTTTACATAGAGCTATGTAACAAAAGGTCTGGTTAATGCAGGTTTCTAAATGATCCTGTTTTAATTTACATGGCATGGCGTGTACAATAATTGTAGATCTGTTTTATGCAGGTATTCATAATACACAGGTTCTTCTTACCAGGTACATAGAAATGTGAATGAAATGTTTGGTTTATACAGGTGTCCATATAAGAAGGTATCGGTTTTGATAGGTTTGATTATATATTGATCACTTAGAAAGAAATAGCTTCCTTAGTAGAAAACTATACATGTACATAGGCTGGCTGGAGTGATACAGCTTGTTTGTGGGTGACTTACAGATATATTATGTTGGTGTGTGAATCAGAATGAGTCAACACCACTTTAATTTGAGATATTTCATCTGAAAGGTCAACATATTTTTTTTTTCAACATTCGTCAACTCTAACTTCGTCTAGAGACACATATGTTTTAGTGATATGGCTTCTGTAGATATAAAGCTGAATATTTTTAAAAGGATTTTTTTTACAGGAAGTTGCAATATAAATTATATTATCGGAATGTATAGGAGCTATTTTTGTGTTTATATCAAACTGTTCAGAAATTGCCCAGTAAAGATGAATTGATTGTAATAAAATGAAAAGCTTTTAAAGTTGTTTGAGGTCTGCGATGTTAGGAACTGATTTCAGTAACTATATAATTATATATTTATATGACAATTTTTTTTTTTCATTTTTCTCTTGATGATGAAAATAACACTAAGAGTGAAAAACGGAATGCTAGTAATTATACACACTTCAAGATTTTTTTTTTTCTGTTGCAAGTTTTATGTTTATTCTGTAGAAAGTGTATAAAAGTGGAAGAATTTTTTGAAAGTGTTAATTTAATTAGATTGTATAATTATCATTTCAAACAGGACCTAGCTAGCTTTAAGGCACGTGTCAGTCCTCAATTAAAGTTTAATTATTGCCTAAGTAATTAGATCTAAGGGAATTGAATACTCTAGACTGATTATAGAGGGTTCACAGAGAACAGGCGTGGCAAGCATAACTATTAAACGGAACTTACCATGATACAGTTTTACTTTATGTAATCTTTATACTAACAACTAACAACCTGCTGATAAAGTTATACATTTATGAAAGTATTTTGTTAAGGACATATGATACCTTACTCTAGCATGGAGACTTAAGGGTGTATGCTCCATTACAGTGACAAGTAGACTTAAGGGTGTATGCTCCATTACAGTGACATGTAGACTTAGGGGTGTATGCTACATTAATGTGGCATGGAGACTTAAGGGTGTATGCTACATTACAGTGACATGGACACTCAAGGGTGTATGCTACCTTACTGTGACATGGACACTTAAGGGTGTTTGCTACATTACTGTGGCATGGAGACTTAAGGGTGTATGATACCTTATAGTACTATGACATTTAGACTTAAGGGTGCATGCTCCATTATTATGGCATGGAGACTTAAGGATGTATGATACCTTACTGTGGCATGGAGACTTAAGGGTGTATGATACCATACTGTGACATGTAGACTTAAGTTCATTGGAGTGTATTGATAAACGGAAACAGGAAGTACATCCCTAGTTGAAAATCCAATGTAGGGAGACAGTATCACAATTTCCGCAAATTCTAATGTTTAATATTAAACTGATGAATATTGTATGTTTATAATTGACAGAACATTGTGTTCTCTCAATATTAAAGTATTTCAAAGCAATCCGGGTATTAATTCAGGTTTTTTTTTATCAATGAGTCACATGTGTCCATTTTTCTGTACTTCAGGAAACCGGCTACCTATTTCAGTACTGTGAAGTTTTTCAAGAATGATAACTCTTGCCTACAATTACTATGTGTATATGGTTTTATCATAAAATGTCAATTTTTATATTGTGTATAAAGAATTAATTTTACACAATTTCAGCATTTATTAAATTGATATACATTAATGCAATACTAATATATGTCAGTATCATTTTTATTGACATTATTTTGTAAAAATATTGTGTCTTTCAGGTTTTTTTTTCAAAATTCACTCCTTTTTACATAAATTTCCATTTAAAATCCTTAAAATTCAGACAACATATATTTTTTTTGTGGCAGAAAATTTTCTTTACTTTAAAGCAATATAACTACAAAATTTGAAGAAATTCTACTGAGAAATGGCGACACAATCCTATTACCTTAAGGGTTTGTGCTACCTTACTGTGACATGGAGACTCAAGGGTGTATGATTTATATATACCATACTGTGACATCCATGTAGACTTAAGGGTGTGTAATACCTTACTGTGAAATGTAGAGTAAGGGTGTGTGATACCCATGCGATACCTACTATGACATGGAGACTTAAGAGTGCATGCTGCCTTACTGTGACATGGCAAATTAAGGGTGCATGCTGCCTTACTGTGGCATGGAGACTTAAGGGTGTATGCTACTTTACTGTGACATGGCAAATTAAGGGTGTATGCTGCCATACTGTGGCTTTGAGACTTAAGGGGGTATGCTACCTTACTGTGACATGGCAAATTAAGGGTGCATGCTGCCATACTGTGGCTTGGAGACTTAAGGGTGTATGCTACTGTACTTACTGTGACATGGAGACTTAAGGGTGTATACTATTGTACATTACTGTGACATGAAGAATTAAGGACGTAAGCAGGCTACATTACTCTGAGATGTCTTTCTATCAATTCATGCAAAAATGGGGTGTGCATAGATAGTGGCAATATTCAGGCCGATTTTGAAGATGAGAAGAATCTTTGCATGTTTAATCAGGTAATGGACACTTCCTCTGTTCTGTTCGGTTGTCCATGCTTTATTTTTAATTTTCGAGAGAGAAAAACGAAAAAATACCTGCTTTTTCACAGAATTTTCTGGGGTTTTTTTTCTGGTTTCTGAAGTTGTCAAAATGTTCCAGAAAGTTTTATTTAAAATCAAGGTAGATTTAGGACTAACACATTGTTATCATCTGTTTGTAAATGAACAATACTGTTGAAGCATCATATTCCATACACACAGTTATGGGATAGCTAGACACCTCTGGACATTGTACATGGAGATAGGTAGGTAGAAAATCATTTATCTGTTAAACCCATTCTTATACAAACCCACCACACTCCAATTTCCTAACATTTCCTACAATTATCAGCCTGAGTAGCATTACTTTGACAGCTAGCCGTGACCAAACAGACAGCACACAGAATACAGATAACCCAGGCGGCCGTCTTTCCTTCTCCTCAAGCATATATTTAAACCGAAGTTTGAAATGCAAGGGGGAAAAATGTGAATGTTGAGAAAAAAATGTGAACGTTGAGGTGTCATGTGCATGCAAACACGTAATTTGTTTTCTTCTCACTCCCCAGAAAACTAGTGCTTTTCACAGGAAAATAAATCTGAATTTATGTGCATGCTTGGCATCTTGCTTGTTAAACCATGTGTATACCGTTCCTGTTGAACTATTGGTTAGCTTCGTGAGGGAAATTTGTATTTTTTGTATCAGTGGGGTGTGATGGAGACTGATGTAGACACTTTGTACAGATATCAACGGTTTTGAGGCCAAGGTATACATCGTATATTTTTAGATGTGCCGAATCTCATCAACATGATCAGTGAAAACATTGGCACTGATATTATTTCACATCTACCCATCTTAAGCTTTCAAAGCTTTGAATTTCGTCCTGATGATTACGTATATAAACATCTATATCTTCCCTTTTTCTTGTTTTTGTATACAAGTATATATCATTTGTGAGTCGGTTGCTCTGGCCATTTTCTGTCTCTGAACTTTACATGACGGCTTTCATGCAACAGCTTTCATGCCCCGACCGTCTGCTCTTTGAAAGTGAGAGTGCCTCATTTATTGCGCCCTGCAGAACTACCAAAGTTTTTTGTGTGGAATTTCTCAATCTTATCTCCCACTCACGGAAATAGCACCAGACTCATCAACATTTATGCTGAAACTCTATTACTTGGGTAGCATTCAAGGAGAACGTGCATGGGTGTTTTAAATTTCGATGTCAGTTTTCACATTTCGACAGTTTTGGACTTTGATAAGTGTTCTGGAGCATTCTGGATTATTTTGGATTTAAAAGATTTGTACCATGTGGAGGATTAATATTATGAATGGAGAAGCAATTTCTGAATTCTCATCTTTCAAGCTCGCCAGAAAAACTTCAACAACTTCGGACGCAGTATCCATGGATATCTGGTATAATGATGTTGCTGCATTGAAATCACTGCTAAATGGTTGTGAAAATTAACACAAGATTTGGCTTTCATTGTGTAGTTGAGATTTGCAGAGTTGAGTGTTATAACTGTTCAATAATTCTTTGCCTGGAAATTCGTAGTTTGAATTTTTTTTCCTGTTCCAATTAATTGAGTGAATATCCTGATTTTTATTAAGTACCTCACCAGTTTCTTTGGTTTCGTCTGTTTAATCACTTTTTTTGTTATTTACAGAATTATTGCCAGGAATCGAGGACTTCCTGTGCCGCGTGTTAGCTAGGGAGGAGCTGTCGGGGCCCGCGGAGGAGCTGCGCCTCTACTTCATAGAGCGTTTAGATATACTCAAGCTCCCTCCATCTCTACCTCCCCGACACTCAGGTAAATAAGGACCATCCACAGACACCTAATGCCTTGTGTATAGCAGGGCAGACACTCACCTGTACAGGTGAGACAGATCTATATATAGCCAGATCTATATATAGCCAGGTAGATTCTCACCTGTACAGGTGAGAAATGACTATAATCTCATCTGCATGTGCTAAACATGACTATTAAGCAAGGTAGATTCCCACCTGTAGAGGTAAGACACATCTATATATAGCCATGGCACCAGGTAAATTCTTACATGTAGAGGTTAGATATGACTATATATAGCCAAATAGATTCTCACCTGTAGAGGTTAGACAGATCTATATATAGCAATGTTGATTCTCACCTATACAGGTGAGACATGACTTTATAAAGCCAGATAGATTCTCACCTGTAAAGGTGAGACAGATCTATATATATAGCCAGATAGATTATCACCTGTAAAGGTGAGACAGATATATATATAGCAAGGTTGATTCTCACCTGTACAGTTTAGACATGTCTATAATCTCATTTGTATGTGCTAGACATGAATATATAAGGCAAGGTAGATTCCCACCTGTAGAGGTAAGACATGTCTAAATATGGCCATGGTACCAGGTAGATTCTTGCCTGTACAGGTGAGACATGACTATTTATAGCCAGGTAGATTCTAACCTGTAGAGATTACACATGTCTATATATAGCCAGGGAGATCTGATAACCTGTACATTGTGTTCATATGACCTATACATCAGGTTAGTTGACTAGGTACAGAACTGCACCAAACAACCCCAACATTGACAGGTAAACACATGCAGTATATGATCTCACTGTGTCTCAACTGTGTAAGTTAATGAGGAATGATCATGGATAGCTATGGCATGTAGAAAACCAATGCCAGGGGCTGACTGTCTGTCTGTCTGTCTGTCTGTCTGTCTGCATCTTCCTGTATGTCCGTCCGTCCGTCCATCCATCCATCCTGTCCATTCGTCTAATATTTGTCCAAACAACGACACAGACTCTGACTGATATTGTGCTATTTTTAGGTGTTAGGTTTAGCATCCTAAACTTGACAGTAACTTCATTACCTCTATGTGTGTGATATGTATGTCTACATGTCTGTCTAATCACCCAAAAAGTGCAATATATCAACAGGAACAATGCTAAAATAAACGTGATAGGATTTAGACATTCCTGCACTGGTTGTATTACTGTTCTCCAAATGTGTCACCCAAGATATTTTACAAAAACTAGTCACAGTCAGAAAGATGAGTGGGAACTTAATTTATTGTATGCTAATATATATATAAATTGAATGTGCACCAAGTTGTATGTCATAGTTATGTAGACATTGGTATTCCACAGGCAACTTACACATATACACAGGTATGCATGCCTGCACATATACACTTACACAAACAGGTAAAATTTCTTTATTTCATCATGTTGGCTATCACTAGAATGAGTACGTTATCAATAGGTTCATGGCTTCATACCTGGGAACTGTTTCTCTAGACACATTTTCTGTGTTTAAAGTTTTCTAGCACAGTATAAGTTATGGGATTTGAAAGCCATCTGACCCGATTGTTAAAACAGTTATGTGTGTGATGGAATCTGACGGGTATATGATTTTGTAATATGTAGGTGACACCTGGTACCACGTCTTACCTGGTGTTTATACAGGTAGACAAGCTCTGTACTTCGTTATCACTTAGGTATACAGTGTCCGTATAAGTAATGCACATATTTACTGTAATGTTTAAACATCTGCTAAAGAAACAAGTACAGATAGACAGTACAATGCCAGCCTTAACCTAGTTAACCAGGACCTAAACACAACAGCCAACAGTTAACTGGGACCTAAACACAACAGCCCACAGTTAAATGTGGCCTAAACACCACAGCCTACAGTTAAATGTGGCCTAAACATAACAGTTAACAGTTAACTCAGGCCTAAACACCACAGCCATCAGTTAACTCAGGCCAAAACACCACAGCCATCAGTTAACTCAGGCCAAAACACAACAGCCAACAGTTAACTGGGACCTAAACACCACAGCCAACAGTTAACTGGGACCTAAACACAACAGCCAACAGTTAACTGGGACCTAAACACCACAGCCTACAGTTAACTGGGACCTAAACACAACAGCCAACAGTTAAATGTGGCCTAAACATAACAGCCAACAATTAACTGATGCCTAAACACCACAGCCAACAGTTAACTCAGGCCTCGCCTAAACACTACAGCCAACAGTTAACTCAGAACTAAACACAACAGCCAACAGTTAACTGAGGCCTAAACACAACAGCCAACAGTTAACCGAGGCCTCACCTAAACACTACAGTCTACAGTTAACTTCGACCTGAACACCACAGCCAACAGTTAACTGAGGCCTAAAAACCACAGCCTACAGTTAACTCAGGCCTAAACACCACAGCCTACTGTTAACTGAGGCCTGAACACCACAGCTGACAGTTAACTCAGGCCTCGCCTAAACACCACAGCCAACAGTTAACTCAGAACTAAACACCACAGCCAACAGTTAACTGAGGCCTCACCTTAACACACCAGCCACCAGTAAACCGTGGCCTCACTTAAACACTACAGCCTACAGTTAACTCGGACCTAAACACCACAGCCAACAGTTAACTGGGGCCTTAAAACCACAGCATACAGTTAACTCAGGCCTAAACACCACAGCCTACTGTTAACTGAGGCCTAAACACCACAGCCAACAGTTAACTGAGGCCTAAAAACCACAGCCTACAGTTAACTCAGGCCTAAACACCACAGCCTACTGTTAACTGAGGCCTAAACACCACAGCCAACAGTTAACTGAGGCCTGAACAACACAGCCAACAGTTAACTCAGGCCTTACCTTAACACCACAGCCAACAGTTAACTGAGGCCTAAACACCACAGCAAACATTTAACTGAGGCCTAAACACCACAGCCTACAGTTAACGGATGCCTTAACACAACAGCCAACAGTCAACTGAGGCCTAAACACAACAGCCAACAGTTAACTGAGGCCTAAACACCACAGCCCACAGTTAACTGAGGCCTAAACACCTCAGCCTACAGTTAACTGAGGCCTAAACACCACAGTCAACAGTTAACTGAGGCCTAAACACCACAGCCAACAGTTAACTGAGGCCTTAACACCACAGCCTACTGTTATCTGAGGCCTAAACACCACAGCCTGCATGTAACTGAGGCCTAAACACCACAGCCAAGTTAACTGAGGCCTTAACACCACAACCTACAGCTAACAGAGGTCTCACCTAAACACCACAGCCAACAGTTAACTGAGGCCTAAACACCACAGCCTACAGTTAATTGAGGCCTAATCACCACAGCCAGCAGTTAACTCAGGCCTAAACAACACAGCCAACAGTTAACTCAGGCTTCGCCTAAACACCACAGCCAACAGTAAACTCAGAACTAAACACCACTGCTAACAGTTAACTCAGGCCTCACCTTAACACAACAGCCAACAGTTAACTCGGACCTAAACACCACAGCCAACAGTTAACTCAGAACTAAACACCACTGCCAACAGTTAACTGAGGCCTCACCTTAACACCACAGCCAACAGTTAACCGTGGCCTCACCTGAACACCACAGCCAACAGTTAACTCAGGCCAAAACACAACAGCCAACAGGTAACTGAGGCCTAAAAACCACAGCCTTCAGGTAACGTAGGCCTAAACACCACAGTCTACTGTAAACTGAGGCCAAAACACCACAGCCAACAGGTAAATGAGGCCTAAACACCACAGCCTACAGTTAACTGAGGCCTAAACACAACAGCCAACAGTTAACTGAGGCCTAAACACCACAGCCAACAGTTAACTGAGGCCTGAACACCTCAGCCTATTGTCGTATTGATGTCTATTGAACTATTGATGCAGATTTTACCGAATGTTTATATTGATGAAAAACATAATTCATAAAAGATATTGAGGGGCTGATACCTTGAGTTTGCTGATTTGTGTAAGTATAATATCCACCTGTTGACTGAGGTGACATTTGGATGCCCAAAAAACACTTACAGTATACAGAGATAACATATTGAGATGTTTTTATAACATTTCATGTTTTTCACTTTAAATCAGAACACGCCTGTCAGTAGTTTGCATTGATATTATCACCAAAACACAAATCATTTCAATTTTTGTAACCAAAATATTCCCTTCAATATCAAATAGGATTGTTAACTATTCGTTTAACAATCTGTAAAGAAGATTTAGACACATGTGTCATTTAAGTGTTAGTGAGTCATTAGACCATTTTTTGCAAATTTTATTGACATTAAATAGGCAACAAAACAATGTACAGTAAATGACAATAAAGTCTGTCTTATGTCAGCTGTGTGGGGGAGCGTGTGAGATACAGAGACATTATACTGGCCTGTGTCTTGTCTAATGTGTCACTGTGTCACTGCATGATACGCTGGCCTGACCTCTACCAAAGACAACGCCCTTACTATATTATATTTACATTTGCGCTGCAACCCACTATATGAACATTACCAGCAGAAATGTATTTCATTTGAGTACAAAATCAAAAAACTCTTGTGACGTAACATGTGGTTTACTTATGACGTCATAGATTAACCTTGTTCAATGAGAGTCTTGTCACTTCGTATAACATGGAAAATGCTCCTGCGTCAAACGCTCAAATGACTATGGTTAATTATAAAACGACTCCTGTAACACAACCAATAAGTGTTTCTATGTGATGTTTCGATGACTAATACGATATATGTACACTGTCACCGTCATTCGACAAATGACCTGTGAAGCGTATGTACTCAAATGTGTAAAATGTATACGAGTTATCAACAAATTGATGTCGATTAATTATTGGCTCCAATATTATTTAAATAGGACTGTTCTGCCAATGTCTTTTAACGGACGATGTATATACAAAACTAAACATGTATTTAAGGATGTATCCTATACCTTACTGTAACCTGTATTTAAGGGTGAATCCTACCTTACTGTAACCTGTATTTAAGGGTGTATCCTACCTTACTGTAACCTATATTTAAGGGTGTATCCTATACCTTACTGTAACCTATATTTAAGGGTATATCCTACCTTACTGTAACCTATATTTAAGGGTGTATCCTACCTTACTGTTCCACACTTAGAAACCAGACAGATACCTTCTATAAATGGCCTTGTCAAGATAAACCTTGGGTGTATCACAGTATTACCGTGTAATGTTACATAAAAATACATATAGTTTAGTTGGTATGGAGGATTCTTCCAACACATCTTACAGTTGTAACAAATAAATGTAGAAGGGAGATCACTCTCATACAATTCACACGTATAATATTAATGTTGAGCAGCAAACATCTTTGAAATCAGCATAAAATGGATTTTGTTTGTTAGATGATGGAACACAAGTCAAAATATTTAATTTGAAATCTATAAATGTTATTTGAAAAACATCAAGTTTGATGTATTAGTGCACTGTAGTATGCATGCTCAGGAGTAAGCATTCCAATTTTCTTCAACAGGTAATTTTCGTACTTCAGTTTATAAATTGTGATTTCAAAGTTTTCCAAACCATCAGGCCTAGGTTATAGTTCGGAACAGGGAGAAATTTGACTTATAAAAGTTTGTTTTGTCTACTAAAGTGATGGCAAATGCTGATTAACTAAAATTCCTAAATTCCAAATCTCTGTTTTGCTCAATCAAAATTCAAGGAATCTTTTATTTTATCTCACCAAGTTGTCGCAGAAAAATAAATCTAATAAAAATTACTTTGGATGAAGATTATGTAAGAGAACTTAATTGGATAACCTAACTTTGGGTTTGAAGCCGAGGGTGTTACGCTAACCTCTGTTAAAAAAACACTTTTTCATCCTTTCTTTTTTCATTCCACAGCTGGCGCCTTAGACAACATACCAGTATCTCCCGTAAAATTTTCTCCCGTAAAAGAGCCCTCGCCACCATCTCCTAACAGGGAGCTACCCAAGTCACCTTCCCCCAAACGGGACCTGGTCAAATCCCCGAGCTGTCCGAGTAATGTGGTCAAGGACATCATTGAGGATGATTTCGCTGCCTACCAGCGGGAGATCTCCCGTGCCCTGCTGGCACAGAACTCCGATGTCATCACGGCTGAGGATGACAAGGAAGAAGACAGTGAAGATGAAAAGGTCAGTGAAAAGGTCAACAGGTGTAAATAATGTCAAAATAATAAATAAATTACAAAGTCAACTACTTTATCAACAGATCAAATCATCGGGGCATTTACTACAGTCTGTTATATAAACACATCAAATCACCGGTGCATTTACTACAGTCTGTTATCTAAACACATCAAATCACCGGTGCATTTACTACAGTCTGTTATCTAAACACATCAAATCACCGGGACATTTACTACAGTCTGGTATATAAACACATCAAATCATCGGGTCATTTACTACAGTCTGTTATCTAAACACATCAAATCATCGGGTCATTTACTACAGTCTGTTATATAGACACATCAAATCATTGGGACATTTACTACAGTCTGTTATCTAAACACATCAAATCACCGGTGCATTTACTACAGTCTGGTATATAAACACATCAAGTCATCGGGACATTTACTACAGTCTGTTATATAAACACATCAAATCATCCGAACATTTACTACAATCAGCTCAGAAGTCTATAAATAATCACTGGATTAAAAAGTATGATGTATAGAGACACCAGTATGAGATCACTGTTCTCAACAGACGACTTTCATAAAAAAATTTCCTAAGAAACAACAAATACAATGATATATATCGGTAGGTCAAAGGTCATTAAATATCACATTTATTTCACTCAATCACAAAAGCAGTGTGAAATTTTAGGCTGGAAATTGTTTTTCCCTACTGTGTAACCCTACAGGAAGCTGTTGTCACTCAATGATGGTACAACAGTCTACGGCCATGTTTACCTTGAAATTCACTCAGCTGCGAAATAAAATAACCCTGTATTTGTCCACAGTCTATTAAAATTGAATTTTGCACCAAACTTTATGTACTTGGAAAAACTGACGGAGCAGACATTTTATAGGTGTTCGGTGTATAAAACGTTGTCTGTGGCCTATTTTATGTTGCACTTTGGAGATTTTGTCTGGTTGAAAAGGCTTGGGAGCTTTGGACTTGTTATGGGTGTAGAAAGCGGTTTCACTTTAATATTCCTGCTAGGGGGGGTTGTTCAAGCTTTTGTGTTGACTTCAGGTATCTATACCCTGGAGGAATTCACAAAAGAGATGTAGAATTATTATTGATCATAAAAATTGAAGGCAATACAAAGACTACATAAAAAATAATGAGGACTTTGAATGTCTGAAAAATCAGAATTTAAATATGTTCTGGCTTATTGACCCATCAGAACACAGGTATCTGTTTACATATTAACCTATCAGAATGTAGTTATCTGATTACATATTGACCAATCAGAATGCAGTTATCTGATTACAAATTGACCAATCAGAACACAGATATCTGATTACAAATTGACCAATCAGAACATTGCTATCTGATTACATATTGACTAATCAGAACACAGATATCTGATTACAAATTGACCAATCAAAATACAGTCATCTGATTACAAATTGACCAATCAAAATACAGTTATCTGATTACATATTGACCAATCAGAATCAGTTTTATAGTAGGGCAGGATAGGTAGTTTTATAGTATGACTGAAGCTTTATACATATAATCCCAGCTGGTAAACTACTACACAATGCACTCGGAGAGGAAGTACATACATAATGTCAGGGATGAGTCACTAGAGCAAAAAATCCTCCTCCTATTAATATGATTATCTTACAGTAATGACGATTCTTGTCCCTGTCACTGTATGGGATGCTGGACGCCACTAGGTTTAGGGTATTTGTTGTAGCTACTGTAGTGTGATTGTATCGTTACTGAATGAGACCTGAGATGTATTAGGTTTAGGATATTTACTGTAACAGTGATATTGTCATATCTGAAGTCTTCCCATGGTACAAATGGAAAAGAACAATCAGGTTTGCAGTCTGTTTATTGGTTATTCTATCACTGTTCCCAGGTCATATCTGATACTCTGTCACCTAAAATTGTCAGATTTTGTATGTTTAAGTACTTCTTGGAATGGCAGTACTAAAAACAGGTTGTGTTCCCCTCAATAAACAGAGTTATGGCCCTTTGTTCATTTTTTATACCAGAGTTGTTCCAGAGAACGGTTACATGGATTGTTCACATTATTTTACCTCGTTTACACTGAAAACAAAATATACAGGTCCTGGAATTCAAAATCATCACCCTTAGATAATATATACAATAATACTTCCATATCTGTGGGATTTATGTAAAATTTGAAGTTTGACAAAGATGTATGGTTAGGGTAAAGAAACCTGGCCCTGGGTCCTGGAATATATTACCTATACTTTGTCATAGTATCAATTTTTTGAGGTATACAGACAGTAAAACTAAACCAGAGTGTGTCGTCCCCCGCTGTGGTATAAGTACACTCGTATGTTATGAATGGGACAATCAAAAAGCTTGGATTTCAAAGTTAGGATTTGTGTAACATGTGATACTGACCCCAATCTACTCTTGGTAGTATAGTTAGATGATATCATTCATGATTTGATTGTGAGATGGTTTTTTTCAAACAATTTATACTTCTGTGTCACTACGTGCAGAACAGCACACATACAGACCGACATTACTGTCTTACATATATATACAATGAGCATGCAAGTACATAGATACAGTACCAATATCTTTTCAGTGGGTTGGTTTTGGTAGTGTGTCTGACCCAATATCCATAACAGGGTGGCCGCGATGACCAAGTAATTAAGGCGTCTGACATTCTGCTACCACTAGCCCTCCACCACTGGGTCTCAGGTTTGAGGCCTATTTAGGGCAGTCGACAGGTACTGGCCATAGGTCGGTGGTTTTTCCCCCGGGAACTCCGGTTTTCCTCCACAACCAAAACCTGGCACGTCCTTAAATGACCATAGATGTTAATAGGACGTAAAAAACCAAACAAACCAAACCAAACCCAATATCCATAAGGTTGGTTTCGATAGCGAGTCTGACCAAATTTCCATAAGGTTGGTTTTTGATGTTGAGTCTTACACAAATTACAACAATACAATGAGTAATAGAAAACTATATACAGACATTTCGGTTTTGATTTAACACAATATTTCAAATGCCAAAAGTTCTAAAATAAGAATATATCTAAAAAAACATCATGTTTGCTGTGTTCTTAAATGGTTACCATGGAAACAAGATAAAAACCGTAGCTTCATCCTGTTTAGTGATTCTTTCAGAGCTCTGTGGGAGGAATATATATGCATTTAAACACATTGGTGAAAAACCAGGTATTAAGTTATGGAGGCAAGTGTTCACAATTATACTTAAAGTTACAAATTAAGTGATTCGACTAGTAGCTCTAACACACAGAGGGATCTCAAATTCCCATTTCAAAGGTTTTTTATGAAACAAACTTCAGTGTGTCTAAGTTCCGTAATTTTTTGTCACTTTTCTTAAATCAAATGCTGAACCAAGGCATCGGTGATATCACATATGTCAACTTCATAGCACTGTGTATGGGATAAAAGTGTACCTACATGTCCTTTATGCCTTTTCTGACAATATCAAAGACGTAAACTTGAATCGATTGATTCTGTGCTATAGACAAGATACAATCTGATTTCCCTAGTGAACACAATAGGCTGATTGAAAACAAAACAACGGACTATACCATGTCCTTGAATTGGAAGAAAATAAAGCTGTGTATATTTAATGGGTACCGTTGTTGGCACACAAAGTGATCCGCTGCAGTTTACCTAGGACTTGTCAATAGCTGAAGATGCTTTCATTACTTGCACCTGCAGAAAATTCATTGATTAGTCTTGTTCTCACTTGTAAAAAATGGTGCGGTGAAGCGTATTGGCAGGTGGGGACAGTGTTGTATCGATTGAATCTGAGTCAGCAGGATGGAGGTAAATGATGGGAATGGATGATCACGAGTGATGGATCGTACAGTGCAGTACAATCTTAACCTCCAGCGAAAACCGCGGCACGATAATTACACAATCTGTGTCCAATCCATTAAAATAGAGTAAAATGGACAGAAAATATACTGAGCGTGCCAAAATTAGTTATTTTTACTACTTTTGTTTGGGCGAATATAAATCTTCGAAAACATCAGAGGTCTTTCACCTTGTTATCATTTGCATTAGCGTTCTTTCCTTTCTAGTACTGTTCATTAACTCATTCACCCCCGAAGACACATTTGAACTCTTCCATATTAAAGGTTGGACTAGTTCATAATGAAATTTCATTGAATGAGTTAATGACTTAGTATTACCAAGATTTGTGTCTTTTATTTCTTTGATGAACCCAATCCAAATAACCATTTATGAATTATGTTTGATCAGTTTAAATCCTTTTCATTTCTACAAATCTTACTGATTCAATAATCAAAAGGAGTAGACAACAGGCTATTATTAGTGAGCTTCTTCTATAAAATATATCCTGAGGTAGCACAGATTATGAAATTATCTGGATATCAGGGTGGTATTCTCCTATCCCTTTCACCCCTATATATCTTTAGTAGACTCTACCATGCATTGATATGGATGAGTACATTATGGTCTACAGTGGTGAAAGGGTTAAAAACATATTAAGTAGGAATATTTGTTTATTAACAGGATAATTGTGGTATTTTCCTATAAAACATACAGAGGTAGTGAAGACGATAATCATTATCCAGACGACGGCGGTATACTTGTTTTTTCGACTACTGACAAACACTTATAATCTGGTGGGGATAAGAGTGAAATGTTTCCTGTTAAACTTTCTATGTTGATGTTGTTTTACATTGAACCTCTGCCAATTAAAGGCACACTTTCTCTGCCCTTTAGATAATACAGGTGGCGACATCAAATAAAGGGAGGTAATTTGGGTTAACTATCTTCGATAAGGATTAATCGGTCAGTGTTTCCACGAAATAATCTCACCTAATTGTTACTTAATTTGTCCTTGACATTTCGGCGTTTATTTCAAATAAATGACTATGTAAATAGAAGTGAAACATTAAAGAATAATAGAAATGTTGTGGTTAAATGAAAATTAAACCTTACCTTGAACTATCCAACCTTTGGATTGGAGGAGTTCAAATGCATCTTCAGGGATAAATGAGTTAAAGTGCTTCAGTTGTCAGAGTGGGAAGTCAGGGTTAGACACTAACTTTTTTTGCTTGGTAGCCCACAGTACTAGTTGAATAGATTATTTACTAGTTCTTCGTCAATTTAACTACTCCAAGATTTCCTGATAAGGAAACATCACGATCTACAGCTCGAAACATCAAAAGTAATCGACTGTAGAGGACTTAAAATAACTACTGCCATAAAAAGATGTTGAAGTTTTAGGAAAACTTGGACAATTATCATGCAATATATCTTATTTTAACTCATTCACTCCTGAAATTTCTAAATGGACTATTCCAACCTTTGAATTGGAAGAGTTCAAATGTGTCTTCAGGGGTGAATGAGTTAAGCAGTTTTTTTAATTTTGAAAAGGAATATTCTCATTTTATAATCTTAATTTTGACAAGGACCAGTTAGGTTAGGTGATTCACTAGTCCTTGCTGAAATCTACTAGTCCAGGACTGTGGCATCGTATACATTATGATTTTGTTTACATTGAATACATTGTCAGATGTCATTGTAATGTTGAAAATTGATGGTGTATGTTTATGTTACTCAAAAGATATGATGTCTTGTTTACCCAAACAGTTTCATATAAAAATATATTTATAAACAAGGATGTGAAAAACGTAAATATACTGAACAATTGACCGTTGTCTATACAGGTATGAAGTGTAATGGGGAATAAGTCAATGTACCTACTGTATATCTGAGGATTACGATCATGCGGGATTTAAATAGCGATATACATTGTAATGTCACATTCATTATGACTTCATGTTCTACACAGATTCTCTCTTGATCAGAGAATTTAATGTCAGATGTGCTGGTACAAATATAGAATAATCTTGTTAATAGATCGGTAATGGGATAAACCAGGTATTAAACTCATGGAAATTAAACATAAATTATATTCAATGTGAATTTACAAGTCTCGGATATAATCTACATATTGAAGCTCACGCTTGAGAATAATTTCAGTCTATAATATATACTTGACATTTTGTCTTCTATATAACTTATTTTTATACATATATGATATACGTTTCATAAAATTGGCCACGTGAATACCAGCCAGCTGATGTATTTGAATATTTCGTTTGTTTGTTACAAATGATTTCAAGGTTAGTTTAAGTTTTACCCTGCAAGCCAGTTGTGCTACTTATGAATATTAATGAGCAGGTTACGACAGGACAGACGTGTCTGGGTAGGATGTCAAGCATCCAGCAGACCATGACTAAAAGGCCTTTAGGTTGCACATTCGACGTAAATTGATGTTTTTCAATTCTACTGTAAATGTCCTAAATTGATGAAAAGTGTAGTAAAATAAATCTAGGTGTTACGCACTCAAGTCTACATCTTTTATACTGCGCAGCTTATTTACATAACATTGATAATATTTATGCACAGTGTAACACACAACATCACTTCATTTAATATTCTCATTGACTTCCTTCTTTTGTTATCATGCTTCAGTACAAATAAACTAAAATGTTTTAATTTTGTTTTTATCATTTACAGGGTGTAAAAGTGTACGACGATATTGACATTGACCAGATTCTGTCAGAAACTCCGGAAAAAACAAAAAGGTAAAAAATATATGTCTCTTGATCATGATCAATAAGATGCTTGTCAGTGTGATCTTCATCGTTTGAAAGCTTGAAAATGTGACACTGAAAATTTGAAACAATGTATATACAGATTTAAGGTTGTCCAGGCCTTAGCAGCCATGGTTTCTAGGATACCTGTGTAAACAGGGAATTAAAAACCTGAGTCCACAAGTCAAATCCCAAACATTTGATCACAATATTTTACCGCTTTCTGAGTTTGAAGTAGGCAACACTTCAAACCTAACCAAATAGCAAGATTTACTTTCTTCAGTATTAACTAATTTATAGGTATAGAAAAACAGTTTTATAGCATGTTTATTGGGGAAGTCTAAAAAGTGACTGACACAGTGGTCTACCTGTATGAGGGATCAGAGTGTTTTCTTCTAACTCACTTGGTGCAAAATATGCCAGTGAGGCAATACCGAGGCCAAGTTTAGATTGTTAGGATGAAGGCTATAAACGAGGTTCCAATAAATCACAATTTTTAAGGTCGCAAAAGTTGAATAAATTCTTAATATTAATATCTTAATTTTGCTGAAGAATTATAAGTCTTAGAGACAAAGGTTTGGGGTCTAGATCTGTAGCTTGCTGGAGCAGATTGTTATCAATTCAGTCTGGTTAAATATATGGTCAAATATGTATAGAACTTTAAATCACTTCTTCTGAAGAGCCATACCAGTCTAGAGTCAAGATAAATTACCTTTGGCTTGCTGAGTTGGAGGGCTTTGATATTTGTTTCACTCATTCACCCCTGAAATTTCACAATGGACTATTCCAACCTTTGAATTGGAAGAGTGCAAATGTGTCTTCAGGGGTGAATGAGTTAAATAAACCACTTTGACCTTATTTGAAGGTCCAAAAGATAAAAAATTAACTGAATGTGTACATCATAGTGATGACAAGGATCAATGCTAGAGCCCTGTTAGCCTCCTAATAACACACTAAACATCGTCAGACCAGGTGAGTGATACAGGCCTATTGAGCCTCTTGTATCTGGGACGGGTTATTTATTAAATGTTAGTTATTTGTAGAGCTGGTAATGTACAGCGTGTGAATCAAAAGTTAATATACCTCCACACGGCTCCCTGTTTTATTAGGAATACACAAAAACAAACAAGACAAGGTTAGCTCTGATACAGGTATCACGCCAAATTCTTCAGTATGTTTCCCATTATAATGTTAATTCTTGGATGTAATTTGGGAAAATCTAGAAGAAGTTTACGTTGTGTAATTATTTCTGTAATGTTATAACTATCCTGGATTCTGTCCTAACCACAGTCAGGTGTGGGTGTGGGTCTAGGGAGCTTGGTTATAATGTCTTAATGATGATTTACAGTAAAATTTCACTAGTGGAAAGATAAAAACACATTGTATGATATAGGGTTTGTACAGGCCGTGAAAGCTAGGGCCCTTAAGTTGACGAAAAGGAGCAAAAAGTTCCTAAATTAAACTAAGTTGTCCTGAAAGGGTCAAAATGAGTCTTGAATCTGACTAAATTATCAGTTACCTATGGTAATACAGTAAGTTAGTTTGGTAGTTTTGTGGGGTTATTCTTATAAAATGAATTAAGGAAAAACAAGAAAATGAGAGATTTTCGAATTCACTACCAAGTGTTAAATTTTAGTGTTGTTTAGTGTTTGTATGATGATCGAGTTTTAGAAACATCTAGGTTACACATGCAGTTCTTTGTATTTTTACAATGTTTAAACGACAGGAGATGTTTGGCCTTATTTTCACTTAAAAAAGCCCTAAAAATCTTAGACTTTGGTACCAGGCACTGAAGTTCTTGTATGAATCCTGGGTTATTTTTTCAGTATCAATACAGTTATGAACTTTCCATGGATAGTGCCAGGGATTGAATTGATTTTTAAGGAAAGAACACCAAGAGATGCATTCTTTTCTTTTTCACAAATTCATTTTTGAAACAGAAACATTTCAACTTTTGTAATACTTTTGAAGTTTTAAAGGATTCAATTTCTGACCATGTATTTTTCAGTAGAAATGCTGACGTGATTGATGAAACAAACCTGTACGAAATTCCTGTGTTAAAACGACTTCCATTCCAAGATGAGAATACTGATGGGAAATCAGATAGAGATGTTCTTGTGGATTCTACGGCAACAGAACCAAGCCATGTGGAGAAATCTGATGTCATGCCTCCTCCTCCCCTACCCCCTCCTCTCCCTCCGCGGCGGGAACGAGCCGTTTCCGATGCTCAGAGTCGGAGTTCCGTGGGAAGTATCTTGGAAGACAAGCCCCCAGATTTACCTGAAAGACCAAATCTACCTTCAAAGTCCGGGATTCTCAAACATGATTCTAAGTCTGAGAAGTCGCTGGACACAATGGATGAGATGGGTATGTAAAGTATTAACTAAGTAGAGAGTCCCACCACTTTCCTGCTGAATATAGGCCTTGAAAAATGATTTTAATTTTTAAGTATTTTTTACCCGTCTATACATGGACAATTGTAAGTTTAAGAGAGTTAGGGTGTTTCCAAATTAGTCTGAGTAATTTTGCAAAAAAAATATTTACTTGACAGACATATCTAGAAAGATTACAGCTTTTACTCATTCACCCCTAAAAACACATTTGAACTCTTCCAATCCAAAGGTTTGAATAGTCCATTACAGAATTTCAGGGGGGAATGAGTTAATAATTAAGAGGTCAGGGGATGGAATACTGGTGACGGTGGTGTTATCTGGGCCTGTCTGTCCGTCCATCTGTCTGTTATCTGTAGCGTATCTGTCCATCTATCCATCCTATTCATCCATCAATCTGTCTGTTCCTTCATAATTACTTCAGTAAGAGGTCAGGGGATGGAATACTGGTGGCGGTGTTGTTATCTGGGCCTGTCCGTCCATCTGTCTGTTTTCTGTAGCGTATCTGTCCATCTATCCATCCTATTCATTCATCAATCTGTCTGTTCCTTCATAATTAAGAGGTCAGGGGATGGAATACTGGTGGCGGTGGTGTTATCTGGGCCTGTCTGTCCGTCCATGTGTCTGTTATCTGTAGCGTATCTGTTCATCTATCCATCCTATTCATCCCTCTATTTGTCTGTTCTTTCATCTCTCATGACTTAATTGATGGGAATTAAAACCTTTGATTTTATTAGTGGCAATTGTAAGTTTCTGGATACGAATAAACTTTTGGTTGTTGGGTGGTGCAGTGGATAGCTCCCTCAACTTTCATCAAGATGGCTAAACCAATGTATTGAGCTGAATTTTGATTTGAATAAAGAAGAAACTGCTGGGGAATCACAAGGGAGAGCTTTTGTTTAATTACAGCAATACAAGAAATTATTATATGGTTTGTACGGTGTACTTATGGCCCAGGGATTTTACAAAACTTCTCAATTTCTTGATCTAAAAATGTAAATTTTATGAAAAAGACCATTTTGAAATCCAACTCCAGTGTGATTGAAGTTCCAGCCACCGACATATCAAACCAAAAAACATCATATCGTAATTTTCTACCAAGGAAGGCAGAGTACAACAGGCTTGAAAACAAAAGGTGCCAGTGAAATTAAAATAAAATTGTGGAAATGAGATAGATATCAATTGAAAAAACACAACACAGTAGGTTGATTTTTCTTAACTTTAAAATTTTCCGATTTCTTGGACCCTGTTAAACTTGATGAGGGAACTCCATGCAGACTGACAAAGGCTAAACACTTAATTCACACATCTAGTTTAATGGTTTTATCTTACGAACCCCATGTGGTGAGGATTGACGTCATTCGTCGAAAATATTAGCAATAACATCATATTTATAAATACGATAATGTTGTTATCTCCCAGTTATGTAATGTATTTCTACCTATTATTTATTGAAGTGTTTCAGTAGTAACAAACACATACTCAAGTGGTTCCTATCAGGTTTATCCATGCCTGCCACTGTCTTTACTGGGTTTTTATCAATTTTATAAAAACAATATCAGTTGTTTAACGATCATCCACCCCAATTTTCCCAAACCTAAGACTAATATGCTCCGTAATAATATCAACTTCATTAAGTTTTTAGAACAGTGCTACTGGGTGGTTATAATTGTTCTGCTACCGGTAAATATCTGATGTCAAGATTGTGGTTTTCTTGGAGAGTTCACAAAAGGTAGCAGAAATCAAGGAACGCAGTGTTTTTTAGAAGCCATGACTGGTTTATATTACGTAGGGTGTCCAAAATTTGCTTAGTGTGAAATGATATTTGGTCTGTAACTTCCTGTCAAGTTATATTAGTTTTTAAAAAAGAAATGACCTTGATCTTCTATCAAGGTCACAGGTCAGATTTTTTTAAGAACAACTCCATGGTGATTCCATGGGCGGATTGGTCGAGTGGTTAACACTCCGGCCTTCCAAGCAGGCGGCCGGGGTCTGGGGTGGATGTTGCGGTATCTGTGCTGTAGCATTCAAGTGAGGTAGCACTATAAATGATGCCGTTGGAAGCACGGTCCCACTACAAACAGAACACAATACATTTCCAGAACATGCAGGCATGCACACGTAGGGAGATATTAGCCAGGTGGCATAGGGCTATAGTAATTAGTGCCTGATAAGGCAGCTCCTGCGAATTCCTCAAAAATTGTATTGATTTATGTATATGCTAATTGTATAAATTGTATATCTATGTACTGTGAAGCGCTTTAGAGTGGCTTTTGTTAGCTAGATAGGGCGCTATAACAAATATTGTATATTATTATTATAGAAGACCTGCTTCCTGTAAGATGATCAAGTCAAAACTGTTACCTCAGAAATTACTGGTTTCATAGTTGACCTCTTACAGTCTAAGTATTACTGAACTTCTATCAGAAACATATGGTTGACCTGCCTTAAGTCTCCTTACCTTGTCGGACCAGTTCAATCATCAGGTATATGTTAACTCATTGACCCCTGAAGACACATTTGAACCCTTCCAGTTCAAATGTTGGAATAGTTCATTATTAAATTTCAGGGGTGATTGAGTTAAGTATTTGGTGCCTGTGAACCACACAGCATTGTACAGCTTCTCAGCGGTGCTGGCCATGTATTGGCACGAAAACCAAATAGCTGTTTATCCGTCTTTCATCTCCATTAGCTGTACAAGAAATTGTTGGTTTGATATGCAGTAAATACACAGATAGTAGATCACAAACACGCGTGTTTTAATTCTTTACAGAAAACTTCCTGTAAACATTGCACCTGAACATAACTAATTTGAACTTGTTACAAGTGTATAGTGATGGTGGGCTGTATCTGATGGTACCAGTGTTACGATGGTGTAGCTATATTTAACACACATACCCCATTTTGGGGTTCATTGTAGCTGCAGTCCATTTTGTGCTGCTATTTTGACTAGGTAAAACGAACATCTGTATTGTGAAATTGTGTTTTGTTGAAAATAAGTTTTGGTATAATATATGCGTATATTTGTGTATGTGGTTGGTACGGCTGTCACTAAAACACGATATATCATGATATTCGGAAGATGTATAACCATGTTTCATGATATATTACTTAAAAATACTGATAGTAATATTACACACAGCCGTGTGAACGTAGAACTTGTGGTATGTTGAACTAGTTTTCAATCGTGTATCTTGGTAACATATTAACAGGCTTTACTAAAGACACCGCAGTTACCATAGACAATTTGACATTACAAGAAAATTTAAGTAAAGTTTGAAAGTTTAACCCTTTCACCACTGTAGACCATAATGGATTCCTCCAAATAAATGCACGGTAGAGTCTACTAAAGTTACATAGGGGTGAAAGGGTTAACCTATACATCATTTTATCAAAATTCATTATCAATCGTAACAGTGCATTTGAAATATGTGTCTGGATTTTTTAATCGAAAAAGCTCATTATACAAAGTTTTTTTCATATGCACGGTGTATTTTTAATCACAAATTAGCGAATGGCAATGTATCGCCATATATTAGAAATCCAAATATCATGTTATTACCTGTATCAGTATATTACTCCATTCCTTATATGTGGGTATACATGTACCATCAAACCTGCTCATGTGACTACCTCCGTTAGGAGACCACCTGTGTTAAGAGACCACTTTTTGTTTCCCCCATTGTGGTGATTTCTTTGTGAACTAAAAAGGCCAGCGGTTTTAAGGGACCACTTTTTGGACTTCCCAAGGGTGGCTCTTCATACAGGTTTGACAGTTACCCCATCTAAGACTTTTAAGTGCATTGGACAAAAACTTAAAAGATAAAGCTTTTATATAAACATGTCGTTTTGAATAAAAACAGCCATTTTCAATTCCTTTGAAGTGTTCTGGTTGTTTATGCACTTTACATGTCCTACAAGCTTGCCATGGTGATATTTACTTGGAATCGGGCATAAATGTATATTATGATGATATTTTTGTTTATGTTTGCAGACAACTGTGACGGGACATCTTACGAGTCGTATGAAGAGGAATATCAACAACAGGATTTGGACGCCATGAACAAATTCAACATCAAATTGCCAAAGTAGGTTAAGTAACAGTGGCCAGATGTCACATAGACCATCATGTTAAGGGTTCTGTCCCCGGGGTAAAGATTTAAAAATTCATAGATAATAACATCTTGTTTTATCAAAGTGGTTAGGAAATATGTATATGTAGGAAAACATAGCCCTATTAGAATTTAATGAGACCTTAAAACTGTTAATTATAGAGACAGAGACAATCAATTTTAGAGCTAATTGATTATAATGGTAAAAGTTTCTTACAAAAATGATTGTAGAGATATAAAAAATTAAAATATTTATATGAATATTTCATTATAGTTATAATATGATTTGTAGACATTTGATAAAGAGATAGTATGATGAAAAATTCTGGAATCCACAAATGACTAGCTTTCCCACCCGGGTTTCAGTTTTGGTCTTAACTCATTCACCCCTGAAATTTCAAAATGAACTATTTCAACCTTTGAATTGGAAGAGCTGAAATGTGTCTTTAGGGGTAAATGAGTTAAACAAGTGTCAGGACCACAATGGAGTCAGTTTTATGAGCTCACCTGGTCCGTTTGTCTGTCCATTTGTTAAAACTGTCCGTCATCAACTTTCCTTTAAACAACTTCTTCTATAGCATTGAAAGGCCTAGAGTCATGATATTTGGCTGGTAGCTATCTTGGATTGACCTTGACCTATATTGAAGGTGCAGAGGTCAGGTATGTCAAAATTTTGAACGTTTTCTTCTGAAGAACAGAAAGACCTACAGTAGCTCACCTGGGATGATGCCTTATAAAGTTTGCAAAAATACTATGACCTTCTTTCAAGGTCTTAGTTATGATTTCAAATGCTATCTTCTAAAGAACCAAAAGGTGGAGAGTCATGATATAAGGCTAGTAACATCCTAGGATGAATCTTGACAAAAGATGTCAAAAAAAAAGATGAACTTATCCTAATTTCAAGGTCACAGGGTTTAATTATGTGAAAACCTACAAATGACTTCCTCTGAAGATCCAAAAAGCCTACAGTCATGATATTTGGAAAGTCAAACTTACTTTGCGTGGATCCCATCAAAGTTTCGAAAAAAAAATAACTCGAAGTATATTTTCTTTGACTTACTTTCAATGTCACAGGGATCAATTAGTCAAAAATCAAACAACTTCTTCTGAAAATCTGACAGGTCAAGAGTCACTCCTGAGATTTAAGCTTAAAGTGTATGAAACAGGTTTTTTATTTGAAAATAGAATTCCAGATTAGCTATTGAGGGCCCTAGGTCTTATGTCTAAACCTTTACTGATATTTATTATATAAGTGCCTCAAGATCCAAGACAGAAAAATTGAAATATACAGAAATTCAAAATGGAAAAATATTACATAATTGACATTATTGGGTCACCACAAAAGGGATCCTCATAAAGAGGTCAAAACAAATTGATTATAACACATGGTTCACGAGAAAAGAGTTACAGCTTAGCGGTTATACATACCTGCTAACCCATGAATCTCTCGAAGGATGTCATGACCCCCATTGCAAAATTCTGTGGGGGGTGGTTAATAACACATGACAAAATGTTTCACATCAAAATTAATGATCTTCATGACATAACATATGTTATGTCTTCTGGTATGATTTGGGACTTTTTTTAAAATAAATCTTTTCAAAATACTAATTTCCTTCTACGTACAGGTAAGTTTGAGTTAATTGTAGAAAACTTAGCATCTTTCATCATTGATGCATACTTGAAGTATGAACTCATCTAGAAGCTCCTCTTTCTATTTCTCCCTCTCATCTGTATGCACTACATTGGGAATTTGACTGCCTGCAGGTTGGAAACTAGAATATTTTTTTTATTAAAATATGCATTTATATGTTTAACCCTTACCCTTTCAATACTCTAGACCAAAATGGACTCAACCAGATCAATGCATGGTAGAGTCTACTAAAGTTACATAGGGGTGAAAGGGTTAATACAGGTATTTGTATTGGTATAATATCTAGGTAAATTCAACTTAAACAGAGACATCAATAAGACCAAACAATTGATTTGTTACACTTGCAGACCTTTAAAGAAATCTAAAAGAAATCAGAAAACTACCAAGTCTCGTTCCTCTAAAGAGTGGGATATTGCCCTGCCATTTGGCTGTTTGGAGGAGGTTACATTGTCAGGAGAGCTCCAATACAAGGGGAAGTTATCCTGGACGCGGAAGTTGGTGGCTCTAACGGAGGGTCGGATGGTGTGTTACAAGCCAGACAAAGCGGACAGTAAGCCCGCTGTTGTGATCAACCTGACCGGGTATGACGCTAAGTTTGCTGAGAGAGACAATCACCGAGGTTTTGACATACGTTTGATGCACCCAGCCATGGAGATGCACCATTTCCTGACGGACTTCAAGGATTGGGCCAGCATGTGGTGTGAGGTTAGTACAAAATAGATATTATGCTGGACTCCCAAGGTTTTACCTTGTCGTTGAGGTACAGTTATATTGAAAGGTTAGTACGGTATTAAGAAATAATCACCAGGCTACATGAACAACATCAAAACATTTTTATTTTTTTAGGTATTCAATGTCATGGTCGTCATTTGCAAATACAAATATTTTCAGGGTGAAAATTGACAAATAATTGGAATGTTACAAAGAAAAAGGAACTTGTTTTTGAGATTTGATCTGTTTGAGTCTGTCAATTGTTCCTTGTTTACAGTATGTGAATAACATGGCCCAAGGAAAGACCCCTCCCGGTCAGTACCACCACCTGGCACGTACGTCCACCTTCACCGGTCTGGCTGCAAGTCATGTGTATGGAAGTAAGGTAAGGTCACACAAACCCAGCCCAAGCAATTGTACGGTCACACAATCCCTGCCCATACAATTGTAAGGTCACACAATCCCTGCCAAACCATTGTAAGGTCACACAATCCCTGCCCATACAAATGTAAGGTCACACAATACATGCCCATACAAATGTAAGGTCACACAATCCCTGCCCAAGCAATTGTAAGGTCACACAATCCCTGCCCATACAATTGTAAGGTCACACAATCCCTGCCAAACCATTGTAAGGTAAGGTCACACAATCCCTGCCCAAACAATTGTAAGGTCACCCAATCCCTGCCAAACAAAAATAACCTTTTAAAAGCCCACTTGATATATTACAGAATCTAATAATTTCTCATGAATAACGATGCTGGCTGTGTTTATGTTCTGGTTAAAAACATCCATGATCTAATACAGAATACAATACAATGTATAAACAAATAACAGTTAAAAAACCTGACATTAATTGATAATGTGATCATATTTTCTACCCGAATGCCATCATTTATGAACAGTTTGATTTTATGTTTATTTCCAGACTGATATCGGCCACTCAGTATCCAACCTGTCCACGTGTAGCAGTGATAACCAAGAGTTTGATCCCTCGTCTCTTAAACGTCGTAAACGAAGTAAGCGTCACAATGTCTTATGATACAGCCAGATTTATTTTCAGTAAAAAATGAATGAATATCGAAAAAAGTTTGACAACAGACATAGTTTTGCAATATTTGAAAAAAAAAATGGGCTGTTGATTTGTGACTCCACAAAACTTGTCAAAATTGCACATCATAAAAAGTTTGATTTGTATACAGATTACAGATGGCATTTTGTTGCAGTGGTTCAATTTACATAAATTAAAATTGAATCTGGATATGGTGTTTAGATCATTTTCTGTAAAGTTATTATCACTAACACAATGCAAGGGAGGTAACCCTTTAATACTAACAAAAAACAAGAAAGGGCACTCTTCATTACTAATACGATACAAGGTGGGTAACTTGCAACTACTACCATCACTCGAGAGGTTGCCCACAAAGGGTGTAACTTTGCATTATTTATGCCACACAAGGGGTGTAACTTTTTATTATTTACGCCACACAAGGGGTGTAACTTTTTATTATTTATGCCACATAAGGGGTGTAACTTTTCATTATTTACGTCACACAAGGGGTGTAACTTTTTATTATTTACACCACACTAGGGGTGTAACTTTTCATTATTTATGCCACACAAGGGGTGTAATTCTTCATAACTAATGCTACACAAGGGGTGTAATTCTTCATTACTAATATGCTACACAAGGGGTGTAATTCTTCATTACTAATGCTACACAAGGGGTGTAATTCTTCATTACTAATGCTACACAAAGGGGTGTAATTCTTCATTACTAATGCTACACAAAGGGGTGTAATTATTCATTACTAATGCTACACAAGGGGTGTTAATTCTTCATAACTAATGCTACACAAGAGGTGTAATTCTTCACTACTAACACCACAAAAGGGAGGTAACTCTCTCATTACTAACACTACACAAGACCGATGACTCTTTCATTCTAACACCAATCAAGGGAGGTAACTCTTCACTCCCACCATCAACATTTGGTAGATCTTTACTGAGTTGGATGATGACCTGGGATAAAAGTCACTTGATCTGTCTATCAGTAGCCAGGTAATTATCACTCCCTCGTGGAAGGTTAGGGATTTTGGTCAGCGATGAAAACGTTTGTTTATATTTAGACAAGCCATAGGAAATCTTACAGTTGACCAACCTTGTCCTCAGAGATTTCAGGGGAAAACGTGAGCCGTATAAATTTTGACTAGTATCTGTGAGCCTCCCAGAGAACTGGAGAATTTTGTCATTAGAAATTGTTTTGTGATCATGTTGACCTTCAATTGACCTCTACTTACAGTGGAAGCATCAGATTCACAACTCCACCTGATACTGAGAGGTATAATAGAGCTAGAGTTTCAACTTTGACCCTCCCACATTGCTTGAACTTTGACCCTCCAACATTGCTTGAACTTTGACCCTTCAACATTGCTTGGCCATCATTGCTTGCCTCAATCATCCTTATCCTGCATTGACTGGGCTCATGACCTTTCACCTATGCCCTTTAACACAAAAATTACCGGTTTCCACATGTATATATATAGTGGACCCAAAGTTGACGTATTTCTTTGTAATAATTAACGAAAATTTGTGTTTTTCAGTCTGTCATCCATTCATCTGCCTTCGCTACATATTTTCTATAAATAATCGCTGTATTATGTATGAGTTAGTGTATGTTTACTTAACCCTTTCACCCCTGTTCAACTTAAGTCGACTCTACCATGCATTGATATGGATGAGTCCATTATGGTCTAGTGGTGAAAGGGTTAACATTCAAAGTCATACCTAAAGATAAATGTAATGCTGTATGTTGTTGTAATTATATAAAAAAAAAAGTACATGCGCAAATTACATAGGTGCCAAATTACACAGGTTTTTACGGAAATACCGAATCAGTATGTTATATGTTGAGGTTATTTCTAGTGAAAATTACAAGTTATTGTTACCATAAATGAAGGAAAAGTAAAAAAAAATTATAGCAAAAAAAGCAAGATCTAAGACAAGAATTAATTCTGAACTTTGAAAAAGAATCCAGGCCAAGACTCTGCAGTCCTTATGAAGAGCTTTATGTTGCCATGGCAATGGAGCTAGATATCTTTTATGCTTTCTCTGAACACTTTCTAAGAATGAAGTGGCATCTTTCTGCAGAATACCTTAACTGGCATTGCATTCATCCTGAAATTCATGACATACCTTTTACACTGTTTAATGAGAAATGTAAAGCATGAGGACATTAAACAGTGAAGCCAGATTAATCAGTGACACATGTCGATTAGTGTTGGCTGGACTAGTGAGGGATGTCTGAAGACTTGAGGGTGTCGCTGTGTAATACCATACACGAGAATCCTGTGATCTGATTGGTCTAAATGAATGTCAGAATCTCACTATCACAATTAACATTGAGTCGATAAAAATTTCCCTTAACATTTTCTGACCGGTGGATGATAGTGACAATATTGACTGTCAGCAGTGTACAGATACGTGTGATCGGTGAAGGTCCTCTATATTGCTGTTATTTGAAAAGACACATATTGAAAAGTCATGATTTCCTTACAGAACATTCCAGGAAAGTCAGCAGGATGGGCTCTATAGCGTTCCGGGCGACACAGTTTTTTGAAAACATTGGTAAGAAGCCGACTACAAAGAAGTCCTCGTCCTTCTACAGTCCGTCAGGGATGAGCCTCGGGGACCTGAAGGAAACACGACTCAGTACCTGTAGTGATTCCCTAGGCTTTCTCCCGACCCCCTCCTCCCCTTCCTCCTCCGTTCCGGACACACCGGTCTTCCTGGAAGCTCCACAGGATGCCATGAGTCTCACGCGGTCTCCAGTGGAGAAAAAAATGTGCCATATCGACCCACGGATTAAACACCAAGGTTAGTATCTGTTATCTTCAGATTCTGTCATCCTCCTTACCTGGTAATGGAAGTGTTTCCTCCATATATCAATTATGGTAAGAAACATGTAACTAGACTTTAAATAGTGCTAATTAGCTTATAGCAATTATGTCACTTTCTCACAGAACCACAAACCCGGACATCCAAAAGCACTATGATGCCTTAACATAATTTGTCATAAGTGTTATACCTCATGCATTTTTGGGCAGATTGGCCGAGTGCTTTACAATCCGCCCTTATAAACAGCTGACTGGGGTTCGATCCCCAAAGTCTTCATCTACAACCCAAATGGAGTATAAATGGGTCTGAGGTGGATGTTATGGTATCTGTTCTGTAGCATTCTAGTGCGAGATGGCACTATTAAAAATGTCGTTGGAAGCACGGTCCCACTACAAACAGAACTCAATTCATCTCCATCTCATAGCAGGCTTACACACATAGGGAGATATTAGCCAGGTGGCATATGACTAATAGTTATAGCCTGATAAGGCAGCTCCTGTGAATTCCTCAAAATTGTATTGAGTGATGTATTATTTAATATATATGTTAATTGTATTAGCAATTTATTAATTTCATAAATTGTATATCCATGTACTGTAAAGTGCTTGAAAGTGGCTTATTCTAGCCAGATAGGGCGCTATATCAAATGTTGTATATTCATTTATTTATTTATTTATTAATTTATTTATTGACATGCATGTTTTCTCTGCTTTTATTATAAACCCACCTGGTCACTGTTCTCTAAAACAGACTGACACTCTGGGCCAATTTTATACATTCTAGTACTATACCATGGACCTGATGAGATAAACAAATTTCAGTGAATTAAGTCAGGTCCATACTATACTTCAATGGAGAAAGCGGACTGATGGGGAAAAATGGTCATAGTACCGTGAGATAGTTTAGGTCTTTGTATGATTGTTATATTTGAGGTTCTGGAAGACGTTATATAGTGACCTTTTAACTTGATTCACAGCATTGCTAACCCCTGGTGTAAAAATGAAAAATTATTGTCAAAATCTGTATACAAAGGATGATTAAAATTTGCTTCAGAATTTCATCATCAAAAGGTGTTTGAGCAATAGGGGGTAACCCCAATAGTGAGCTTTTGTATCTATGTAAAAACTTAGAGGTAAACGTTGGAATAGCTTTATTCTAACGCCTCATTTGATATTGTATATGTCTGAATGAAGAATGTACTATAGCATGTGGTAATAGATATCGCAGTAAATATTATAAGCTGGTCAGTGATCTAAAAGTTATATGGACCGAAACAGAGTACAGATAAGTTTACTTGTTCAGGTAGCCGAGTTCAGTCCATCAACTACCCTACATGTTTGCGATTTTCATTCAATGGTACACTTACTTGTAACATATGAGCTCAATTTCGTGCATGTTAAGATTTCCTACGAGATAAGCTCTGTGTTCAGTTGACTGAACCACTTAACAGGAGGCTCTGATGTCAGGGACGGCTACACACGAATTATCATAATGGCTTTTATAGAAATAGGTGAGGACTTCCTTGAATGTCAGGTGTTCTGTGTGAAAATGGGTTAAGGTAAAATAAAACATGGCATTTTAATCAAAATATGCAGTGAATTATTCATTAACTTTTGTGAAAGTATTATTTTTTGACGTACCTGACACCATCTCTGTTAAACATAATCAGCTCTAGGTTCTGCAGTACTTAGGAATTAATACCTATTCAGGTTCATAGCTGTCTGAAGTAAGAAATATTTTTTAAGATATCTCATTACTATCACGCTAAATCACAGCCTAAACATTTTTTCTCAGGCTCGAGGATCTGACAATAAAGCAACATCCTGGAAATATTGAATGTTTTACCTTGAACCTAGACTGCGGTTTATTTGTGTGGGAGTATTTCTTGTGAGAACCTAAGTTTTTAAGGATATATAATAAAACCTTAATAAAAAGCCTGATTTTTACAGCTGGCTTGTCATGAATACAAGCCTTAAGATTCAGAAAACAGCAGTCCACAACTCATTTGAGTGAATTAACTGTATTGAAATGTGTAAGGTAGCATACACCCTTAACTCTCAAAAATAATACAGGTATAATAATGTGTATCTAGGTAGCATATATCCTTAACTCTAACACAAATCACTGGTAAAATGTTTCAAGTAGTATATATCCTTAGATCTTACACAAACCACAAGTAAAATGTTTAAAATAGTATTTATATCCCTAACTCTTACACAAAACCACAGGTAAAAATGTTTAAGGTAGCATATATCCTTAACTCTGAATTAAATCACAGGTATAATGTGTAATATAGCATATATACTTAGCTCTAACACAAATCAATGGTAAAATGTTTCAAATAGTATATGTCCTTAAATCTTACACAAAACCACAGGTAAAATGTTTAAGGTAGCATATATCCTTAACTCTTGCACAAATCACTGAATTAAAGTATAACTTAAAATAAACATATGTTTAACCTTTGCTGTAATGATGCAAATCACTTGTATAACGTGTAAGGGAGGTAACTCTATCACAATTTACAGGTAGAATGTGTGAGGTAACATATAACCTGTTTATAGTCAACGATTTATCATGCTGGTTCATTAATTTCATCATCTGAGACAATACTCTGTGACTCTCCCAGTGGCTGTGAGATATTTCGCACATTGGTTTGTGTTATAACGTCACACCAGCAAAGATCTGACGACAATGGATAGTAAATTGGAAATAAGATTTTTAATTCAGCCAAAATTCCGAAAGATCGTTTTTGAAAAATTCTTCCTAAAAACACTTAAAAACTCCTCAAATTGAAAAGGTGATCTCTTTAAAATATAACATTACTTTTATAGGTTACCTGCATATCTATAGCAGCTTTAACCGGCGACGCTGGGGCCAGCGGTGGTGTGTCGTGCGGGGCAGTATGCTGGAATGTTACCGTAATGAGACCAGCACAGTGTGCGAACTCGAGGTCTGGCTTCGCAACTGTTTCCTACGACGTGCGACCGCGGAGACAAAGAGTGAACTAGGGCTGATGCTGGAGGAGAAGGGAGTGGAAAAAATCACGATAGAGGTGTGTGATACCTAACATGAGAACCCTGAAATCTGATTGGTCGAAATGAATGTTAAAATCTCACTATCACATATCAAAGTTTTACTTTTTACACAAACAATGTACGTATTAAACGTTTTGCAACGTTTCAAGACCAACTGGTCCCTTTGTCAAGCTATGACTGAGTGAGCGATTTGTATTACTTATCTGTACAACAATGTGACAATGTTAGCTATCTTTCGATATGGAGCGTATACACACTGCATCAGATAGGTTACAGGTAGGGTGAAGATCTCACCCTCTCCCCTGTTATGTCAGTATCGGGTCATACAGATGACTCAGCTGGTGTCCCCCATCGTCTCTGTTCATGTTCTGAGTTTTCCTGATATGTGATATCAAAACTTTAATATTTCATACATACATTTCCAAACTGATTAATCTTATTGAAGATCTCACAATCACAATTAACATTGAGTCGATAAAATTTCCATTAGCATTTTCTTACCAGTGGATGATAGTGACAATATTGACCATCAGCAGTGTACAGACAAGGGCTAAGAAACAGTTTCATCTTCTTAGATACCAGATTAATCTGGTGTTTTAGTTGTACACAGTTATACAGACAGTAGGTAAAAACACAGACTGACTGAGATAGCAAGGATTGATTCCATGGTGAAAGTGTTGATACAATGTTTCCTTATTTGTTATTGACATTCAGTACAATAAAATAGATATGACATTTGTTAGCAGGTAATTGTTAAAAGTGAAATCCACTAGGTGACCCTAGGCTGTGACTCTCTCTAAAAATAAAATGTCTTATTGATACAATAACAAAAAACCTTAGATTCAGTTTGGTTTTCAATTTCCTTAGCCTCAGTTTGGTTTTAGACAACATTTTGTTCAAATGATTCCAGATATTTTTTGTTAGCCCTGTAATTATCATGTTGTTCTGATACATTATCCGCTGTGATCTTCCAGCCTCTGAACCGCAGTGAGATGGGCAGGTGGTTACGGACCCTGATGAATGAGAGTATGACACAGCAGGTCCCGGAGGGTCTCGAGGATGTTTGGGAGGAGGAGGAATCACCGTACCATGACATCAAAACAGAAGATCTTAACTCGTCCGACGGCTTCAATTACAAGGTTTGTCCATAGTAACATCTGAGGACTTCCAAATCACCGAAAAGATCAATGATTCAAGACATTTAATATTCTGTAGAACTGTTTTGGTCGGTTGCATGATTGATATTTCCACCAAATATAGACCCTGTGTCAAATATGAAAATTAGTCAGAGTTGACAGTGTTTTTGTAACCAAAATTTTACAACAGCCTGTTCCTTTATGAATTGGGAAAATATAGCATTAATTGTATTGAAATTGGGAATATATTTCTCAGATTTCGGTCATTTTGGGAAAATAAAGCACTTTTTAGGTAGGGAAAACTCAGCAAAAAAATCAATGATTTATTTTATTACTACAAATGTTTACCCATTAAAAGTGAAAATACTGCATTATACAGTTCATGGATATATCTGAGAAATATTGATTAAAAAGGAGATTTACAATAAAATGTTGACTGGTTTCAACCTTTGTCAACTGACATTAAACTTTGTCAAAAGGCATCATTCTTTGTCAAATGGCATCAGTCTTTGTCAAATAGCATCAGTCTTTGTCAAATGGCATCAGTCTTTGTCAAAAGGCATCAGTCTTTGTCAAATGGCATCAGTCTTTGTCAAAAGACATCAGTCTTTGTCAAAAGGCATCAGTCTTTGTTTGACAAAGACATCAGTCTTTGTCAAATGACATCAGTCTTTGTCAAATGGCATCAGGCTTTGTCAAAAGGCATCAGTCTTTGTCAAATGGCATCAGGCTTTGTCAAATGACATCAGTCTTTGTCAAAAAACATCAGTCTTTGTCAAATGGCTTCACAAACCAATGATAATTAAAATGTTTAAAATGATTCAGTTATTAACCAATTTGTATCATCGAGGGATGTATGGTATCCATTGATAGACCGTACTCTATTTGTCCAGCAATACGCTCCTCCTGGTGACAATCCCATCATATCTATTTCAGTTCAGTAGAAATGCCAACCAATACTCTTTCATCATCTTGTAAGAACTTCCCTCCCCCTTTACTGACTTAGAGATAAAAAATGAATCACCAATATAAAAATCTAATGAATTTGCAAAATTAAGTGAGTCATAAAGAAAAAGGTATTTTATGCCATCAGTTGTAAAAAGGTTTTTACAAATTTAGGAGTTTGTGATACATGTTGCATTTTGTACTAAGTGTGTCGCTGACAGTCTGTCTAATCTGGTGTTTTAGGATCCGCCTGAGCCTCCAGCCCGCCCAGCTCATCACTACGACCTTGAGGACAATGACACCTTAACTACGATAGACTTCAACAACTCTCTAAGTCTGAACTCTCCGTGCAGCACAGGGGAGGAAAATGGAGAGGATGAAAGTCCACATGTACGAGGGAATGTGACTGGAGAGTTGTACACGCAGGTACGGAAGAGTTCCACTGGAACGATGGAAGAGGAGATGAAAGAAGTGAATTCCGTGATAAAGAATAATTCTCTTACAAAAGCTGAAGAAGGTCATTTCACGTTCTCCTCACCAAGGGGAGCTAACTCACCCCTAGGGGACACATCAGTGTTTGGTTCTTCCTACCAGGGAGATGATGGAAGTGGCGAGGGTAGTATGTTTGCTGATATTTTAACCAAAATTAACCGTCATTTTAGCCGAGAAAATGAACAGAATGACCCTGATAGTACAAATCAAGATCACTTTCGAATAGAAAGTGATCATCCTAGTTCGGAAAATGAGCAATTTACTGCTAGTTCAGAAAATACACAAGATGATATTGAGCAATTACTTTGCGAAAATGGGCTTGACGAAATTGTGGAAGATAGCGACTCGGATAAAAATACAGACACAGCATACAATAGTGGTGTTAACTCGGAAAACAGTTCTCTGGAGCGGAAAAACCGCGGCAGTGATCAAGGATCTCTAACACATTCCCAGAATGACCTTGACACCATGAGTCAGGCCACAGACATACTGGTCAGTCCCCTCGAGGATTCTGTGACCTTTCCTGGCTGTAACGACCTCGTACAGATAGAGGTCACGAGTCCCGATGAGGATTCAAACTTTCAAAATATGGACCAATCAGATAATGGAATTGCCCTCATGGACAATTCAGATACTGGAGATTATCCGCCAATTATCCAATTCCTGGAGAATGACCAGTCAGGGTGGAATGGTACAGAAAATAAAAAGGATTTTATGAACAGCAAGACATCACGTGACCAATGTGACTCAGCGATCTACGAGGCTGAGGTAGACTGTGAGGAACTACCGCAGGTGACTTTACAGAAAGTGGAACAGCTGCGTGAACACTTGGTGGAGTTGAAGGATAAAAGGTACAGAAATTATTACAATCCTGTTTTCAGAATGAGATTCATCAGTTCGGTAGGAATAATAAAAGCTAAGCTTGTTTCGAACACAAACAGTAATTGTCTACTTATTTTGCAAGCTTTCAAACCATCTGTTTTCTTCATCAAGTAAAGATTGCTAATGAGCGGTGACTCGACTCTAAACTTCTAAAAACAATTCACGAAGCCACCCACAATGTGCCATGTCAGTAAAGTCAGTTGTCAGACAAAATAGAGATATTTTGTCCAAACCATTTTCAATAGCTTTCAAAATAAGTTTTCAAGTACTGTTTGTGTTCAAATCAAATGGTACCTAGTCAAAAGCTCCATACAAGTGTGACGTCCCCTTAAATTGTCGAAGTTTCCCGATATTTTACCTTATTTAATCTCCGAGTTCGGAAAATGAGCAATTTACTGCTAGTTCAGAATTTCACTTCAACTGGAGTTGCCCTATTCTGTCTTTGCGTATTGCAGAGTTATCTTCTCTTGTGAGCAGGTATTGATTGTTATGTCATTGGTTTGTATGAGAAAATTACGTTGTTTTCTCAAAAATTGATGACGTTACTCTCACAAACAAATGACGTAACAATCAATGCCTGCTCACAAGAGCAGATAACTCTGCAATACGAAAAGACGGAATATTTTACCTTAAAAATGGAATCTACCTCTGAAGAATCAGAATCTGCCTACATTTGAATATGATGTTGGAAATTACTTTCTTGATAAAAAAAAATATGTATATAGAAACAATAACTAGGTTTCTTCTGTTTAGAATCCGTGGAAAATACTTGATCAGGTCCTAATTTATAAATATAATGTAATATCAAAGCAGCTTTACTATGCTGATTCTTGTAAAAGAAAACTTGTGATGAAAATCTTCCTATTGCAAAACTCTTGTTCTGAGGTCAACACATGTAGGAAGTTGGAATTTTCAGGTTTTTAAATAATACAGGTTCAATTCATACATCAATGTATCTCGTAGAAAGCTGGAATATACAGGTTTTCAAGCAGCAGAGGTTCAATTAATTTATAGATAGACAGTGGGTGCTTTGTAGTTTTAAAGTCTAGTATTTACATAACTTGAAAAAGTAAAATACTTCTCTAAACTCTAACCAATGATTTGGTCCTCATCTTAAAATATCCCTCATTACATTCTTACCTACTGTATAACACGAAATGTTCGTGGGAACTTTCCTCCATGGTTTGACGCCATTTAGATTGTTTCGTGGTACATATGTACAAACTTTCATGGATATCCTACAAACAGTTGACACGTAAAATCATCCAAATTCGTATTTATTTTCGTGGTTCAACAGCAACCACAAAAACCACGAATGTTTATACACAACAAACTTTTCTTGTTATACAGTATGTCTTGAGGAGTTTTGCACAAACAGTTTCTCCTACATAAGACAAATAACATGTCAGCATAAGACACTGAGCTAATTGATAATGTGTGAACGTGTTGTAGAATATCGGTGCGGGACCAGAAAAACCAGATGGGGACCGGATCGTGGGAGCGTGACTCCCTCGAGGAAGAGTACCTCCAGCTGGACCATGAGTGTAAACAGGTCGCTACCCAAATCTCCGTCCTAGAACAGCAAGTGTAGTGATACGACCACCTCTCTATGTCCACCTTGTTTGCCTTAGGAAATTAAATACGGAACAACTTCTTTGGAGAAGATGGTGTTCGATGTATCTCCAAAACTTCTCCAAACAATTTATAAGGAATATCAGAACGTAAATTTACACGAGTTTCTCAACAAAGAAATATATATCCGACTGATTAGAAATGTGAGCTAACGGAAGGTTTGGATATCTGAGATATCTAGGTATCTGTTTGTATATCCAAGAAACTGTACTGTTATAAAACCTGATCTGCCTCTGGATTAATCTCAGAAATCGGACTGTTCGGCTACCAGTAATTTTATTATCCTGTGGTTTGTAAAACTTTTGTATTTGGTACAGGTTACTATACCAATTGTTTTAGTGAATTCTTGTTGGGAAAAGTTGTAATACCCAAAATGTTTTATGGAAAAGAAAAGGTCTGGACTTACAAGGGTTTTAAAGTAGAAACAAAAAATGTCATATTCTGCTTGATGAATATTAGTACTGTGGTATAATAATAACTTATCAAAGGAGCTCTATATATAGATTGCTGTGTACCATGTGATGTGATTTAACCAGTCACAGTTACACGAAAGAGTTCTATATATAGATTGATGTGTGCCATGTGATGTGTTTAAAGCAGTCACAGCCTACCAAAAGAGTTCTATAAATAGATTGCTGTGTACCATGTGATGTGATTTAACCAGTCACAGCTACCGAAAGAGTTCTATAAATAGATTGATGTGTACCATGTGATGTGATTTAACCAGTTACAGCTACACAAAAGAGCTCTATATATAGATTGCTGTGTACCATGTAATGTGATTTAACCAGTCACAGCTACACGAAAGAGTTCTATATATAGATTGCTGTGTACCATGTGATGTGATTTAACCAGTCACAGCTACACGAAAGAGCTCTATATATAGATTGCTACATATTAGAATATTAATGTTATGTATGATTATGATGCACTTCAGATGCAGGATTTGGTAGATTTGGTATCCCAGATCATCAACTATCATGTCAGTGCTACGTGTTTTAAATGGAATACGAAATAACCCTAGACCAAGTGCTAATCAGTCTATAAATAGATTTATTACAGGTAACAGGCAGTGCTTACAATGTGTATTTGGCAAATAAAACATATATTAATGGGAGGGTGATTTTCAATTTTATTGGAAAGAGACCTTTTGCAAAATGTTGACTTTTATTGAAGAATAAATAAGATGTAGGACAGTGCTGAAGGGTCCCAGCTGGTCGTCAATATCATTTCACAATTTTTAAAAGAAATCTTTCAGTTAAGGTGTTATTGTTAAGTTTCCAATATCAAAGAAGATCTGAACTTTCCATAAATGCCACCAGTACTAGAAAATTCTGACAAGTGCTTGAATAAAAAAAATATATATATATTGTTTAGGGCCATAATATGTACATGTTACTTATGGGAAAAGTAAAACACATGCTTTTGGATATAAATTGACTGTATACATGGAAGGTAAAATCTGAGGACCCTTGGATTTGAAAGTAGACCAGTCCCAGAGTAAACTAAGAACTCCTATACCACAGGTTGTCTTACAGGCTGTTGGTATAGGATTTTAGAGGTGTATCAAAATATGATGAGATTTCTTCAGGTTGTCATATACATTGTACATCAAATATCCATATATAATGTATTACAAAAAGAAAACCAGGTCAATAATTGGCTTAACTCATGCACCCCTGAAATTTTATAATGAACTATTCCGGCCTTTGAATTGGAAGAGTTCAAATGTGTCTTCAGGAGTGAATGAGTTAAATTCTGAAAACCAGCAGGAACCCTTCTGTAACGATAATATGGCAGTGATTAAAAATTAATTAGCTGTCAATTTAGTAACTTAACTTTTTGAGAAATATCTGTTAAGGACCAATTGTTGGTAAGAAATGGCGATGCATTATTATTCAATCTCACTCACATCGGGTGTGAAATGTAATATGTGATGAATAATCAAAAACATTAAATCAAAGTCTTGTATTTTTTCTATTTTATGAACAAGATAGCAAGTAAAATCAAATTACCTGGAGTGGATTGTATCGACAAGTGACATATGTATAAGATAAGCAAAATACATTATTTCATAAATGAATATTGAAATATATTTATATGACAAATCAAACACTTGATTCAGAATGAATTTTTTCCAATAATTTTACTCGGTTTTTCTTCAAATAGTTGTGTGTTTTTGTCGTACTTAAATATTCTGTAGACAGGAGGTCACAAAGCTCCCGACCTGTGTGAAGGGGAGATAAGTTAAGGTTGTATTAGCCGGTCATTTTACTGTTTTGTTATACATTGAAATAGACCCGTGTTTTTGTTGGACATTTTTTAAGGTTGTGCTTTGTTTTTTATTATGAGTAGTTAATGTTTCTGATTTTATGACGGATGTTAGTGATACAATGAGCTACACTAAGTGTACAAGGCCATACTGCACGGCATTTATTATACGGAGATCTAAACACAGTTCAGGACTCCGACTGTACATCTAATGTTGTCTGCCAGATACATGTACACCTTTAGCTTTTTGTAAAGTGAGCATTTCTTTTGATGTGAAGATTTACCTGAATGCATGCTGTTTTGATATTTTTCAGCACTATGTACACATAATATATGGTGCACTCAAACCTTTATTTAGAGACCACCTTCGGGAAGTCAGTTAACTCAGTCACCCCTGAAATTTCATAATGAACTATTCCAACCTTTGAATTGGAAGAGTTTAAATTCATCTTCAGGGGTTAAGTGGCTTCTTTGACTCTTATTGCAGGTTGTCTCTTTATACAGGATCAGTTCACATGAAAATTCAAAAAAAAAACGGATTTGATTATTAAACCTGTCTTATCCACCCTCTGAGTATTCTGACATTCTTTATGATCCGACATAATGTTATTCCATCATTTACGAAAACTACCAAACATTAAACATAGTGTGTGTTTTGACATTCTTTCTTACCTGTTCAGATTGCTGTTTCCTACAGGGTGTCAACTAAGACATGTGTCATTTTCCTACAGTGTGTCAGATAAGACATGTGTCATTTTCCTATAGTGTGTCAGATAAGACATGTGTCATTTTCCTACAGTGTGTCAGATTAGACAGGTTTCATTTTCTTACAGGGTGTCAAATAAGACAGGTTTCATTTTCCTACATGGTGTCAATTAAGACAGGTTTTATTTTCCTACAGGGTGTCAGATAAGACAGGTTTCTGTTAATATCAAAGCTTTAGGGAGAGGAAAATTAAAATGGAAAAACATTTGTTAGATTCAGATTTGCTGGTACATTTAGTTAGGTGGAGCCAGTAAATTTATAAGAGTTTATTGTACTGTTATTATAATTTGGTTCTGATATAAAATAACTGTAGAGATAAAATCTTCAGGCAATATTTGCTGTGCAGTAGTTTTATAACTTGCCATCCCTAAATATATTACTGCTTTAAATCATCTAAATGGACTGAGTCCATTACAATAGTTTAGGGGTGACAGGTGCTGTTAAGTTTGTATAATTGCATAAATTACATTCATCTTTGTTTTGTATTTTATTGCTATTCATATATTTATTGTATGATTCCACAATATTTTGTATTCATTTGCGTGTGCTGTCTAATTTGACCCAGCTAATCTGATATTGGACTGGACTATATGTGTGTACAGCCAGACCCAGGGAGTGTCGGGGTATTTATTTAGGACACATTTTATACCTTACCTTTGCACTTTAGACATTTTTCAGAATTTTACAAAGAAATAACATCAACAACTTATTACTTCAGTTTTGAAAGCAAATTGACATGTTTGTAACAATTTCTAGATGACATTTTTTCTGTCACAGAAAATGAATACAAATAATTTGTAGTAGTTATTGATTATCATGATAATTGAGAGAAAAAGTGCAACTTTTTTTTTAATTGCTTATCTCCCTTAGCTCATTTATTTACAGTCAGATGTGACAGAACCCACATCGTAGTAGTCGTAAGTTTTCTGTAATTCCTTTGGGAACAGGGTTATAAGTAGGATGGACACAGGAAGTTCTCTTTTAGGAATAGGGTAAAAGGTCAATGTCACAGGGTCATAAGTGTAATTCTCTCACAACCTTGTCTAAATGATAGTCTCTTGGTATTTTTTACTCCTCACTTAGACCAAAGAGATGAATACGAGTTGTGGACAAATTACGGGAACGATTTGTAGAATGTACTATTGATTCTCATCATGAAATATTGTTGTTCAAAGTTAATTGAAGATATAGGATGTTAAGTATTGGACTATACAGTGTTATTGCTGGGCTAGAAACATTTATATAAAGATACAATAACATAATTAGAATTATGAAATTTTGTTGTAGTGTTAGAGATGTACTTGAAAGATATACAGCCTTGTTATAGTGTTAGAAACACATGTACTCTCCTGTATGTACTGTTTACTAAAGTTCTCCTTCAAAAGGATTCTATATTGATTTATATGCTGTAGAATGGTCTAATAAATGTTATTGTACTTTTTTTCACAGGTTTGTTTTTTCCCCTGTAGACTAAGAGGTCTAGAGTCCCCTGGGGGGTATGGGGGTTTGGGGAAGTAGGTTTTTAGGGGTCGGAGGGGTAGATTAATGGAAAAAGGAGGTTTGGTGAAGAGGGATGGTAGGGGCAGGAGGTTTAGGGTAGTAGGTTGTTAGGGGTAGGGGGTTGGGTTTTTATGGGAAGGGGGTCTTAAATGGCTTTCTGTTTTACTCTTCCCTGAAATACTGACACCATATTGTTTGAGATTTGAAAAGTAAGCAAATGAAAAGTCAAAATCTCACCAGATTTATGGCCGACACTGAGCCCCAATAATATTTTAGAGGAGACAACCCTTGGATAGAAAACCATTTATATTTTTGTGTTACATTCCTAGCTACATGTACCTGACTGTTTTCTGTAGACTGTGTTTTAGCTACTGTTGTGTCCGTCTATCTGTCTGTCTGTCTATCTGTCCTCTGTCTGTCAGTCAGACAAGTTACTAAGTATTACTTTCATCCCTATCTAGTAACTATGACAACACATCATCCAGTTTTATCAAACAGTCCCATTCCTGTTGCTAGTCATGGTTTCCATGGTAACACTATTACTCTCTATAAACTGTTTGATTTTGTCAATATCTTCAAGTTTCCATGCAAACTTGGCCCGTCGAGACTCTAGTCACATGTCTGGGCTGTAAAATGTGCAATTACAGGAAAAAACCCATGTCATAATGTTCATCACTCATCTGTTACAACATGGAATTGGTCATCACATGTGACCTGTTGTCATTGACAACCTTGTTGATTTGTCAAGTGTTGTGATGGACAAACTCTAGGTTAGGTCATAAACAACCTCATTGGTTGCGACTTTATTTTAGTTACTACAGAACCTGTGTATTCTGACATTTGTGACATTATGTATCCCTAGTACTACAGAACCTGTGTATTCTGACACTCCTAGTAATGAGGTACATTAACGGATTCATGTGTCAGAATCTTGTGATGTGTATATCGATTCACTGGCCTACAACTGGAGATTTTTATATGGGTACAAGTTCCAAGGTTATGACAATGACTGATAAATGTGTCCATCTGCCAGTCATGACCTTGATGATAACTATGCCAGTAAAGCAGTACTTTCTTGACTGATTCTCTATCCCCACTCCAGGAAGTCTCTTCTGGAGACTTGACAGGGGAATCAATTTGGTCCTCCCTGTATATACCAATGCCCCTTCCCCAGCCACCAGGAATGAGCCTTCCATGGTTCCATAGGATTTCACTGCTGTCACCCATCCAGCCACTGACCCCACTCTGACCAGGCACTGACCACTTTCTGACCCCACTCACACTCTGACCACGCTCAATGTTCTTTTACATTAGAGTCAGTCCCAGAGTTATACCATGTCACTAGAAAAAAAAACTAGCCAGTCTTTAACTCATTCAGACCTGAAATTTGATAATGCACTATTGAAACCTTTGAATAGAAAGAGTTTAAATGTGCCTTCAGTGGTGAATGAGTCAAAGCCGAACTTATCCGTCATAGTCCTTGGCTGCTACATATGTGTTCATGGGTCAGAAACTAGAGACACATACGTGATTACAGATTCACAAGTCAAGAGCCCGTAGGTGTAAGGTTCATGAGTGATACTTGGAATATGGTAGGTTCGGGGAGAATCCACAGAGAAGATACATGTGTGTCTACCGTCATCTATGTACCCTGTCATCAAGGTTAAACCTACCATGTTATCACATTCTATCTTATCAATTGTCAAGGGTACACCGGTTTTCCCATACTCAAGGTCATTTAAGGTCGGCCAGATACTGAGTTACCTGACGGGACACCGTCTATCTCGGTCAGTAGAGAAATGTTCAGATACATACAGGGGTTTGTCTTGTGTGAAAAAATCCAAACATATCAAATACATACAGCACCTGTAGAATTGATCGTCGTTATATAGTTTTTAATGTTCAATTTATTTCACAACATTACATTCAATAAAACAAATGTATTTGAAATAAATCAAAATAGATGTACAAGTTTTGAACATAGTCTTTCTGTGCTAATTACAGTCACATGGTGACTTTTTATCCCACTCATCCCTCGAGTCACCTTTGGACTGCTCTAAATCAAATAATGGCAAAGTCCATAATGGAATTCCAAGGGTGATCAGGTAAATTCTTCACAAATATTGCATTGATTTTTTGTTTATAATCATGGCTACACACATATTACCCCTTTTAAAGGTCAAAGGTTAGCAGATTTTATGTAACTCACTTTTCCTTGCTTACACTGTTTTATGAAAGATTTATCTTGTATCATGCCATTCTCTGTTGGAATGGAATGGGCTATATATCCAACATGCGGACCATTCCATTTGTGATATTAGGGAGATGTAGCTGTGTGTACTCTTATTTGATGATATTATGGGGAAGAACTATACCTGACCACTTTTGTCATCGCTGCATAGAAATAAAATATTTTATGATATTTGTCGTTGTGTTATCTATTATGAGTGTGAACTAAAATGGTGGTAAGCATGGAAGTTCTCAAGCATCAAAGGAAAGTTAAAAAAATGAAAATGAATACCTGCCATATTGGTTGAGCAGTAAGGAAACTGAATTGTAGTAGGCACGGTAGTCAAGTGGTAGGACGCCAGGTTCGTGACCGAAGGGTGGTGGGTTCGAGTCACGACACAGCACTGTGTTGTATCCTTGAGCAAGATACTTTACTTCGATTGTTCCAGTCTACTCAACTGTAAATTAGTAGCCGTTAAGCAGTACTAGTGCTAGAATTGTTGAATGTTAGCTGTGAGCGCCGAAATGACAGCACCGGCTGTATGCTCCCCAGGGAGTTCAGAAAGATATTGGTTGGTTGCAAAGGCCCTATAACCACGGATAATAATTTGTGAACCATTTCGAGACGATATATGAACTAGATTGTGATAAAGTGGTATATAAGAACCTCAATCTATTATTATTATTATCTTAATTGGCATCATTGTACAATTTCCTGTAAATATGGTAAACTTATATTAGCACGCTCAAACGTATTACATTATCCAATTTTAACCTTTTACCGCATTGATAAATTGGTGCACCCACAACAGATGCAATAAAAAACTATATACAGAAACTACAATCAACACCATCTTAATTTAGGGCAATATTTACAATGCATAAGTCACTATAAGAAATTATGTATGTTTGCAGAATTTAATACATCTCACAAAATCGCTCGCTTCAGGTTCTATTTGATATGGGATTCATTTGGATGGCTTTAGAATCCCGGTGGTAAAACTTGAACTCGGACTAAATTAGAACAATACAGGCAAAATACAAGCTTTTGTCTGAATAGGATCATGTGTATGGTGTGTTGGTGTTGTGTTCATTACAGTGTTGTACATAAATTAAAATTCGTGAACCTGGACCATTTATAGTTTACCTGAAAAGATCAACTTCTTCATTACTGTGAAAAATATTTCTGCAAAAAAGAAATTCAGAAATGTTTTTGAGATCTTCTCAAAAAAATATGACCTCTTGTGTATGCATACAGGTTCATTAGCGAACAAGTTGCTACCCAGAAAAGGAAAGATAATGATTGCGAAACTATAATGGCTATGCTTCTTGTACAGTTTTCAGGAAGTGAGGAAACTATTATTGTCAACGTTTAGTTAAATATCAAGACAGAAAGCTGAAGAAGTGGATTCTGGAGTGAAAACGAGAAGGTAAAGGGTGAGAGGACTTTCCTATCCTTTTCGTTAAGGTTCCAAAGCCTGTAGCTATGTATTGGAAACCACTGCTTGCTAGCATGACTGATTAGTAGCTTGATTCGTTATTTCTGAAAGAAAACAATACCTTGATGAAATTTTATGGAAGAAATAACAAAGATGAAATGGACAAGAAAACCTACAACAGTGTTTTGGGTGTAAAAATCCCACAGGGCCTGACCGGGATTCCAACTTATATACAGTGCAGATTGTATTATGAAAAGTTCTTGTTACACAACCTGTTAACCAGTACAGCTGCTGAGATACAGGCCTAAAATCGAGTTTACAGAGAACGTACATACCTAAAAGTTCACTTCCACAGAACACTTCACAGATTACTTGCAAACTTGTGTCATCCATCAGTGTTGTAGACATTGGAGAGCCTGGAAGGAAGATGATGATGAAAAAGCCGAAGTCAAGCCTTGATTGCAGACTAGGTTACATGCCTGGCATGTATGTAACAGAGGTCAATGCCTCCACTAGGAGTCGAACCCGGGACCTCTGGCTTACTAGTCTTATGCTCTACCGAATGAGCTAAAGAGAAAATCTCCTTAGCCGAGTTGGTAGGAAGGGGCTAGTTTTTTACCAGGGTGACACACTCCCCCTCCAGGTAAGAACTCTTCCCAAGTTTTCCAGGGGTCAAAACGATTCTTGTGAAAGCTTCGCTGAGTATATTTGTCAAATCTCCCGGGTCCCTACGTGGCCGCCAATGTAACAGAGGTCATTATTATTTTAATGTCTCCGCTAGGAGTCGAACCCAGGACCTCTGGCTTACTAGTCTTATGCTCTACCGAATGAGCAGAAGAGACATTCTCCCTAGCGGAATCGGTAGGAAGCGGCTAGTATTTTACCAGGATGACATTATATACTTCTTTGCTGGACTTTGGTGTGAGCTACTGTTGAGAAGACATGATTTCCTACTTCCCAGCTCGATCTGTCCAAGTCTTATAGATGTTTAGCTTTCCACAGGGACATGATAATTTGTTACAGCTATTTATTTGGACCTAAACTAAGGTGTTCAGAGTACGTAATTTTACTTGTTTTAGTGGTTTAGATCGACTTCCAGTAAAAATGATCTGAACACCTTAGTTTAGGTCATTGGGGGTGTCATTTTTACCGATTTCAAGTCGATCTAAACCCCTAATACATGTAAATTTACTCTGAACACCTTAGTTTAGGTCCAAATGTAGCTGTAACAAATATCAGATCCCTGTGTAGTTTTCCACCTCTTAGATCCCAAGTGATAGTGTTGTTTTCGTGTCCCATTTCTTCATATGCTCATGTCTCGGTGCGTGTGATCTTTTCCTCTAAACCAAGAAACTAATTATCCCTAAAGCATGTCTTCTGATATACGACGATCACCCATGCGGTTGAAATGTCCAAGACATTGAAATCGTTGGTAGTGTTGAAAACCTTACCCTACAATTTTATCCCAAAGAGCCTGTATGGCCATCTCATTTGTGCACGACTTACTGTCGTACGTAAGTGTACTGAGAACGCATGTCATGCACGTGCAGGTACACACTCTCCCTGTATTCTTGGTAAGACCGATGTCCTTGTTGAGTTCTACACCTGTGGCATTGTCCCTTGTGTTTGGGTGTCCGAAAAAATAGAGTTTAAGATCAAAGAGGTTACAAGCTCTTGGTAGTCTTTGCCCAAATTGTGTTCGTATGAGGTCTTCTTCAATATGTGACCAGATATCTGATTATCGTCAGCAAACAAGATATCTCTGATGGTGACTTTCCTTGTGACTTTCCTAAAGTCACCCTGGTGAAACATACCAGCCGCCTCCTACCGACTCCACTAGGGAGATTTACTCTTTATCTCGATCGGTAGAGCGACAGACTGGTAAGCCAGATACCCAAGGTCCGATCCCTAGCGGAGGCACTGAAAAACAATGACCTCTGTTATGCTTACTTTAGTTTTGACCTTTCGTCTTCTTGTAGCCGACCACCAGACCTCTACTGGTAGTTGATCACGGCTGTTGGGGACTTCTATGCGTGTTTCATGTTACTGCGATAAAACAAAATAACAACAACAACAAAAACTGGAGCGTGGACACACACTGGATTAGCTCCACTCTTCACTCATTGAGACGTGGCTCCATTGAACCAAACAATGGTCATCCAACCATAACGGAAGGACCCTAAGCATCTTGAGTAGGTAACCAATGGGTTGCGTATGTTAGGTCGATGAAGACTAGATACAGACGCCGATTATGTTCTCAACACTTTTCTTGAAACTGGCACAATGACAGTGGTACAACGGTTACATTACGACTGTCTGCAGTTTTCTTTATATTGTACGCTCTATACACACATGGAATATGTCATAGTAAAATGGAAGGCACGAAGATAGCTGTTTGATTGGTCTCGGGTAAAAGAGCCTGACCAATCGCTAGGCTGAGACCTGTCCTTTGAAGGTCACAAAATGGCGACACCCGACTTCAAAGACAGTCAATTTTTACCGTGATGCGACCGAAGATTCTTTTGATGTACATTAAAGGATCGAACTAGTCTCTCTTACTCATCAACAAGGTAGTGCATGCTGAGCCTTCAATTTTTCTATGACTTATCCCAAGAGTGCAGAGAGCGTAAGTGAGCGTAACCCCTGGGTATCGAGGATGTGAGGGTGATTGTTCTGGGTTTGCCTCAAAAATGGTTTGTGTTCGATGTTCTATAGTTACCCTGGATAGCGGGGATAAGAGCAATGAGTTGAAGTAGGTCAACCTCTAGAGATGTGGCTGTGACATCATTTACATCAATGATTGGTGTCTCCTCTGGTTCGGCACGTGGACGCCTCTTTCACTGCAGTCTGACCTTGGCGCAGACAAGCGAATGGTCTGTATCTCAACATTCACTGTGACATGTTTGGAAATTCCTAAACATTTTTTCAGGTTGGTAGGTGTCGATTGTATGCATGTCCATACAGCAGAATCAGTAAAGTATTTATGTGCTGCTTACACCAAGGATTGAACGGCGTTTTTTCAATGTTCATGTCGGCATGAACGCAAATCGGTTACAAACGTATTCCATGAATCCCGTCACCGATTATTCTTTTGCTGGTGCGACTGTCTGTTTGAGTGTAGAAGTTATCCTTAACTTATAAGGGCATACACGTACACAAATTGACAGGTCCGTCAGACGAATTCAGGCGTAGGGAAAGCGTGTGCTCCAATCATGTCAACAAACCCGTCGCTGTGTTTGTGAGACCAATCTCGTCATGCCAGAAGAAGAAAAAAACACAGCTAATTTGCTTCTTTTAAGCTACAAGAGTCTGACAAACAGATCTCTTGGGGAGCAGCAATGCGTAATTGTAGGTGGAACATAAAACAGACGGCAGCAAGTGGCAAGTGTAAGCAGCAAGTGGCAAGTGTAAGCAGCAAGTGGCAAGTGTAAGCAGCAAGTGCCAAATGTAAGCAGCAAGTGCCAAGTGTAAGCAGCAAGTGCCAATTGTAAGCAGCAAGTGCCAAGTGTAATGACTTGTGTTTGTCATGGTTAGGGGGCAGGATCCACAACATTCTTTGGCTGGACTGACGTTCAACACCAAGGGATAAAGCGGGGCATTGTCAAGGGAGGCGTTAGGAAACGAAAAAGTGACCGGAATGGAGAGAAAATACGAGGCTTCAGACCAAGTATACAGTTAACTAAGTCACGGAACAGATGTTTAGTTAGGCTTCAGACCAAGTATACAGTTAACTAAGTCATGGAACAGATGTTTGGGTAGGCTTCAGACCAAGTATACAGTTAACTAAGTTATGGAACAGATGTTTTGTGAGGCTACAGACCAAGTATGCAGTTAACTAAGTCACGGAACAGATGTTTGGTGAGACTTCAGACCAAGTATACAGTTAACTAAGTCATGGAACAGAAGTTTGGTGAGGCTTCTGACCAAGTATACAGTTAACTAAGTCATGGAACAGATGTTTGGGGAGGCTTCTGACCAAGTATACAGTTAACTAAGTCACGGAACAGATGGTTGGTGAGGCTTCAGACCAAGTATACAGTTACCTAAGTCACGGAACAGATGTTTGGTGAGGCTTCAGACCAAGTATACAGTTAACTAAGTCACGGAACAGATGTTTGGTGAGACTTCAGACCAAGTATACAGTTAACTAAGTCATTGAACAGATGTTTGGTGAGGCTTCAGACCAAGTACGCAGTTAAACTAAGTCACGGAACAGATGTTTGGTAAGGCTTCAGATCAAGTTTACAGTTAACTAAGTCACGGAACAGATGTTTGGTGAGGCTTCTGACCAAGTATACAGTTAACTAAGTCACGGAACAGATGTTTGGTAAGGCTTCAGACCAAGTATACAGTTAACTAAGTCACGGAACAGATGTTTGGTGAGGCTTCAGACCAAGTATACAGTTAACGTAGTCACGGAACAGATGTTGGGTGAGGCTTCAGACCAAGTTTACAGTTAACTAAGTCACGGAACAGATGTTTGGTAAGGCTTCAGACCAAGTTTACAGTTAACTAAGTCACGGAAAAGATGTTTGGTGAGGCTTCAGACCAAGAATACAGTTAACTAAGTCACGGAACAGATGGTTGGTGAGGCTTCAGACCAAGTATACAGTTAACTAAGTCACGGAACAGATGTTTGGTGAGCCTTCAGACCAAGTACGCAGTCACGGAACAGATGTTTAACAAGGTTTCGATTCCACACTAAAGTTTTATAATGTGTACGATTTGAAAGCGTGATGCTCAGCCAAATCCACACAAGTTTGTTGACTCTACTGCGATCTGATTGGCTGATGGATTCCGGTTGGTATCATTGAAGGAATGATAAGATTTTCAAGGCCTAGTATACCTTCTATAAAAGTCTCTAGCTCAAGTATGACGCTCAGACAATATAATTTTCAGGTTACGATGAAGCTTACCCAGTATATACTTGTTACTCAAGTCACTCCCTCAGATCAATGTGCAGTCAAAATTCATGAATATTTAACGAAGCTGATGCAATCAGATCAATAACACAACAGCATCTATATTGATCATGGTTAATTGTAAGAAGCCTTCATTCCTCGTCAACTGGTACATTTGTCGCCTTTTATTGGTGGGATACAGCACACCTACTCTTCCCCCGAAACTGCAGGGGTTGGTATATATGTTAATTACCACAGGTGTCAAGCACAGACTATTATGTGTATACTCGTGACACCGCTATTAAGAGCATTGATCAGCCATTATTAACTGTATAACAATGTCTGATCAATAAGTGAATAAGAATGCTTCAACAAAATCCCAAATCACATTAATTCTACAAATACATATGCATGTTTGGGTGGTCGGGTGGCGCACTTGCCTGTCACCAAGGCGACCGGGTTCGATTCCCCGATTGGATGTGTAAAGGTATTGCGTCACCTGCCCGATCACGTGGGTTTTCTCCTGGTATTCCGGTTTCCTCCCACATTAAGACATCGCGCTAACATCCGGGCCAACAAGAGTGAAAAATATAAGTTTTATAGGAACACTGCCGCAAGTAACATGGGATTTAATCACGAGACTAGTGTAAACTTGTATCGTTGGCTGTTAATGGTACAAGTTCAGTTCAATTCAACTTTATTCTCTTTCACAATACAATGTATAGAGAAACCTATTTACAATATAATATATAGTAATTGTATAGTGTTCGTAGTCGCTAGTACACAGTACTGTTTCATAATAAATGCACATTTGTATCGAGGAGGTCAAATATTGTTATTAATTATTCTGATAAAAGTACAAAGTTTCTGCAGTGTTTTTATATTAGTAGTATTCATTAATTCATAGAACTTAATTACATTTGATCTTGTCCAAAAATATTTATCTATATATCATAAAGCATTTTATGATAATAGTGCTATTTATGAACATTAATTTAACATTTCATCTCATTCATTACTTTGGATTTCCTCCTACAAACTTTCGCCATTTAATTTCGTTCAGTAACAATTTCATACCTAAAAGCTATTTGATTACATTTGTACAGAGACGTCTCTGATTTGTACCATTTGAGAAAACCTCTATGTGTAAATGTAGATTCTTTGATTCATTGTCGTCAGATTAACTCATGTAATATTGGTGCCCATTTTATACATTATTATGTCACGTAATAAGATTAACTGGTCTTACCAAGTATGACACTTAAGTCTCGGACAAAGGACAGGCTAACTGCCTTTACCTGTTCGGGTACTCACCAGTCAGAATAGAGAGATAAGTGACAGCTGTCAATCAAATTAACTTTATTGTGTTAATTGTCAATGTACACTGTTCTACATGTTTGATAACTTCAGTTAGGAGCTAGGCATCGGACTGTACGGGTGTGTTTTTGGATACTCCAGAAATCACCAACCGACCTAGAGAAAGTTTTTCTAATAAATTTATATTTGGACTACATTTCAACATCTTGGAATTCTACTTTCGAACTACACGTTACAACGAACAGAAATTTTCGTTGTGATATATATATATAAATTTCGATACCCAGACAGTGACGGACACTCAAGCAAGTAATGGAATTCGTCATCAATTTGCTGACTATTACGGTGTGGACATTTTCTTTCATTATAACCGTCAGGGACGTTATGCCATCTGCCGGTTTCAACAATAAATTTGTGATTGGTAGTCTTAAATTTATAAAATGTAACTCTATCTGTATCACTTAAAATATCTAAATAATTTTCAAAATGACAATTATTTTTAAAAATCCTATGACATGTAGCTTTTGATGAAGTGTGTACTGGTCGTGCAATCTTTGTTTAATAACATGCTTTAGCCATGTGGTATTACATTCTGAAGTATATTGGACATTCCATAAGTAACTCATACCACATTCATTTAAAATACGTTTAATAAAGCTTATATATGGAACCGGTTTATCATCAACATTATGATAAAGGCAAAGAAGTTTATACAATATAATATTAATTGTATTTTCGTTAGAATGAGTCAATTGTGACCAATATGTTATTATTCTTGTTTTTACTGTTATTTCAAGTGGGCTAGTACCTAGTTCTCCATATGGATACCATATAATTAGGGGTGCTACTTTTTCACCCTAGTAATAATTTACAAAACTTTAAATGTACACGTTCAATTACCTTAAAGTCAGTAAGATCCCAAACTTCATAACCATACAACAGAATTGTTTTTTTTAACAATCTTGTCAAATAAATCATATATACAATGAACTGATAAGTTATGTAGTCTACCTTTCGTTATAACGTCATACATTGCTATAGTAGCCTTTTTAATATCGTATTTGTTCGTTTCATTGAATGAACCAATACGACTAAATGCCGTATCCAAATAGGTAAAATTGTCCACTAACTCATCACCTCATTATTAAATAAAAATACATTTAGAACTATTGTTTTTATACGTCTTTTACTGAATACTATACATTTGTTTTTTTCTATATTAACCTTTAATTTCCACTGTTTACAGTATTCACTGAATACATTTTATTGTAGTTGCAAGTCAACTGGGCAGTCTGAGAAAATTAGTGTATCATCAGCATAGAGTAAAATGTATACATGTAGATCATTTTCTAATTTAGTACTAAGGTTTGTCAAACCCTGAACGTTATTTTGGACCATAAACTCTTCTAGATCGTTCAAGTACAGACTAAATAAAAAGGGAGTTAGATTTTCTCCTTGTCTCAAACCATTTTCACATGGAAAATAACCAGAACATTCACCATTAAAAGATTCATTTGACTTAATGCCTTGATACATGTTGTTAAAATAATTGTTAAAATTTTCCCATTAATTCCACTCATTAACATCTTGTTCCACAAGCCATTGCGCCATACTTTATCGAAGGCTTTTTCAAAGTAAAAAAATACACAATATAATTTACTTTTCATCATCTGAGTCAAATTTATCAAAGAGTACAAAAATGTCATCACTAGTTGAATAATTTTTACGAAACCCTGTCTGATTTTCACATATTAAGCTGACATCCTCAGAGTATTTCGGTAGCCTTTCACTTAATATACTAGTGAACAATTTCCCTAAACAACTAACAATCGTAATTGGTCTATACTTTTTAGGTTCCACAGGTGAACCTTTATTTTTCAAAATAGGATCAATAGTACCGGTCAGCCATTTTGCTGTGAATTTCCCACTATTGAAAATAATATGAAACACTTTGACATACAAATCAGTCATTCATTCATAATATTGTCCATCGTCGGATACCCACGGTTGATTTCGCTTCGGTACTCACTCATCACTGATCACCGAAGCGAAATCAACCGTGGGTATCCGACGATGAATATTGTCATCAGAGTAACCCTAATAAGCTAGGCCTATTGCACACCAAACATGGGTGGGGGTAGGGTGGGGTGTCTATGGATTAGGACGGTGAAGCCATACACCGGTTTATTTAAGCAGTTATCTCGGATTTCTGGGTCTAACTAATTACAAACGTCTCTTACCGAGGAAGAATTGCCTGACCGGTGTCAAACTTATCCGGGAAAGTGGTTTGAGTCCCGAGCACCACATACACCGCTGAAAAATAAAGAAGGATGTCAATTAATATAGGCCTATAAGATATAATTTTAATTAGATTGCATCTGCCAAAAATCATATTTCCCGCGCTATTTTACTTCAGGAACGAGAACTCTCCTCCCCTGGTGGTAATTTAGTGTATGAATATGGCGTCAAACGAGGAAGGGTTCATGCAGACGTTAGCTGTCACACTTGGCTCCAGCGAAAGTCCGTTACGTTTTATACTCTCGCAGTTGCTCGGTGAGTTATCAGTTTTACTATGACAATCAATCAAATGTCTGTAAAAATTGTTGACTCTAAGCGAGTTAAGAGAACGATCGCTATTTTGCAGGCCATGCTTTACACGGAGTTTGTTACTTAAGCATGCACAAACCAACACGTTGTCAAATTTCTTTCCTATATTTTCGCATATATGACATATGAGATATATTTGACGGAGTTTTGGCTCGTAAAAATATCAATAGTCGTTATGTATTGCTTCACCTGCACAGTAGATACAAACAATGCACATCTTCACGGTCGAGTGACGTCGGAAGATTACACACTGTTTACAAATGTGTATTTGACCTAGAGCACGTTGACCGAATATTAAAGTGAACTCTGACACATCGCTGGTCTAAAAATAATCATCATTTTACTAAGTACAACGTACATGCATGTTGATTAATCCTCTACATCTAGAATGTAACATATAAACTTTGATCTAAATCAACAGGTGGCCCCATCCACCATCCACCCAGTATGCTACTGAAATATTTATGTTGCACTAATAAACGTGAGAGTGAATCATCATTGATATCTTTTTTAAATAGAAGTCATAAATACATTGCCACATTTCTAAAAATGAACAAAATAACGAAAAATGACAAAACTTGACCCCATTTCTCATTGTCGTCATTGAATCGATTAATGAAAAAAACCTTGTGTAATACAGTTGACTGATCTTTAATGAAAACTTGTTTATTAACTTCAAACAGTTGTTGAAAAGATAAACAGCTGTTTATATAAATGACAGCTCTAATTGAAGCTAAATTATAGATCTTTGAACTGTAATATGTATTACATTCCATTCCAATATTATTTTACTGTATTGATTCTAATAATAGCCCAGACAATTGATATGAGAACACATGTAAAAACAAAGGAAGGGTATGGGCGATTATTGGAACATTGGTAACAACTACACATCAATGAAGCTAGGGGTCATTATTTGAGACGAAATATGAAAATTTTGAAATCAAGACCTATACAAATTGGGTCTGGTGTCACAATAGACCACGTCTTTTCGTCCAGTGTAGTCTTTATGCTAGCCCTGATCCGTACATGCACTAGCCCTGTCAAAATAAGGGGATTCGTACATGTCGCTAGCCAAGTCAAAGTTTGGGGATCCAAACATGTCGCTAGCCCTGTCAGAGTTTGAGGATCAGTACATGTCGCAATCCCTGTCAGAGTCTGGGGATCAGTACATGTCACAGTCCCTGTCAGAGTTTGGGCATCTTTACATGTCGCTAGCACTGTCAGAGTTTGGGGACCAGTACATGTCACAATCCCTGTCAGGGTCTGGGGATCAGTACATGTCACAATCTCTGTCAGAGTTTGGGGACCAGTACATGTCACAATCCCGGTCAGCGTTTGGGAATCAGTACATGTCGCTAACCCTGTTAGAGTTTGGGGATCAGTGCATGTCGCTAGCCCTGTCAAAGTTTGGGGATCCAAACATGTTGCTAGCTCTGTCAGAGTTTGAGAATCAGTACATGTCCCTAGCCCCGTCAAATTTGGGGGATCCGCACATGTCACTAGCTCTGTCAGAGTTTGGTGATCAGTACATGTCACTAGCACTGTCAGAGTTCGGGGATCAGTACATGTCACAACCCCTGTTATAGTTAAGTGGGGGTCCATTCATGTCGCTAACCCTGTCAGAGCTTGGGGATCAGTACATGTGACAATCCCTGTCAGAGGTTGGGGATCAGTACATGTCACAATCTCTGTCAGAGTTTGGGGACCAGTACATGTCGCTAGCACTGTCAGAGTTCGGGGATCAGTACATGTCACTAGCACTGTCAGAGTTCGGGGATCCGTACATGTCACAATCCCTGTCAGGGTCTGGGGATCAGTACATGTCGCAATCCCTGTCAGAGTCTGGGGATCAGTACATGTCGCAATCCCTGTCAGAGTCTGGGGATCAGTACATGTGACAATCCCTGTCAGAGGTTGGGGATCAGTACATGGCGCTAGCCCTGTCAGAGTTCGGGGATCAGTACATGTCCCTAGACCTGTCAAATTTGGGGGATCCGCACATGTCACTAGCTCTGTCAGACCTTGGGGATCCGCACATGTCACTAGCTCTGTCAGACCTTGGGGATCCGCACATGTCACTAGCTCTCTCAGAGTTTGGGGATCTGAACATGTCACTAGCCCTGTCAAATTTGGGGGATCCATACATGTCACTAGCTGTGTCAGACTTTGGGGATCAGTACATTTCGCTAGTCCTGTCGGAGTTTGGGGATCAGGACATGTCGCTAGCCCTGCCAGAGTTTGGGGATCAGAACATGTAGCTAGACCTGTCAGAGTTTGTGGATCCATACATGTCGCTAGCACTATCAGAGTTTGGGGATCTGTACATGTCACAAGCCCTGTCAGAGTTTGAGAATCAGTACATGTCCCTAGACCTGTCAAATTTGGGGGATCCGTACATGTCACAATCCCTGTCAGAGCTTGGGGATCAGTACATGTCGCTGGCCCTGTCAGAGTTTGGTGATCAGTACATGTCACTAGCACTGTCAGAGTTCGGGGATCAGTACATGTCCCTAGCCCCGTCAAATTTGGGGGATCCGTACATGTCACAATCCCCGTCAGAGTTTGGGGATCCTTACAGGTCGCCAACCCTGTCAGAGTTTGGGAATCCGTACATGTCGCTACCCCTGTCATAGTTTGAGGATCAGTACATGTCGCTGGCCCTGTCAGAGTTTGGTGATCCGTACATGTCACTAGCCCTGTCAGAGTTGGGGGATCCGTACATGACGCTAGCCCTGTCAGAGGTTGAGGATCAGTACATGTCCCTAGCCCTGTCAATTTTGGGGGATCCATACATGTCACTAGCTGTGTCAGACTTTGGGGATCCGCACATGTCACTTTTATGCTAGCCCTGATCCGTACATGCACTAGCCCTGTCAAAATAAGGGGATTCTTACATGTCGCTAGCCACGTCAAAGTTTGGGGATCCGTACTTGTCGCTAGCCCTGTTAGAGTTTGGTGATCCATACACGTCTCTAGCCCTGTCAGAGTTTGGGGATCCATACATGTCGCTAGCCCAATCAGAGTTTGAGGATCTGAACATGTCACTAGCCCTGTCAGCGTTTGGTGATCCATACATGTCACTAGCTCTGTCAGACTTTGGGGATCCGTACATGTCACTAGCTCTGTCAGAGTTTGGGGATCCGTACATGTCACTAGCCCTGTCAGAGTTTGGGGATCCGTACATGTCACAAGCCCTGTCAGAGTTTGGGGATCCGTACATGTCACAAGCCCTGTCAGAGTTTGGGGATCCGTACATGTCACAAGCCCTGTCAGAGTTTGGGGATCAGTACATGTCACAAGCCCTGTCAGAGTTTGGGGATCAGTACATGTCACAAGCCCTGTCAGAGTTTGGGGATCCGTACATGTCGCTAGCCCTGTCAGAGTTTGGGGATCCGTACATGTCGCTAGCCCTGTCAGAGTTTGGGGATCCGTACATGTCGCTAGCCCTGTCAGAGTTTGGGGATCCGTACATGTCACAAGCCCTGTCAGAGTTTGGGGATCCGTACATGTCACAAGCCCTGTCAGAGTTTGGGGATCAGTACATGTCACAAGCCCTGTCAGAGTTTGGGGATCCGTACATGTCGCTAGCCCTGTCAGAGTTTGGGGATCCGTACATGTCGCTAGCCCTGTCAGAGTTTGGGGATCCGTACATGTCGCTAGCCCTGTCAGAGTTTGGGGATCCGTACATGTCACAAGCCCTGTCAGAGTTTGGGGATCCGTACATGTCACAAGCCCTGTCAGAGTTTGGGGATCAGTACATGTCACAAGCCCTGTCAGAGTTTGGGGATCAGTACATGTCACTAGCCCTGTCAGAGTTTGGGAATTCGTTCATGTCGCTAGCTCTGTCAGAGTTTGGGGATCCGTACATGTCTCTAGCCCTGTCAGAGTTTGGGGATCCGTACATGTCTCTAGCCCTGTCAGAGTTTGGGGATCCATACATGTCGCTAGCTCTGTCAGACTTAGGGGATCCGTACATGTCGCTAGCCCTGTCAGAGTTAGGGGATCCATACATGTCGCTAGCTCTGTCAGACTTAGGGGATCCGTACATGTCACTAGCCCTGTCAGAGTTTGGGGATCAGTACATGTATCTAGCTCTGTCAGAGTTTGGGGATCCGTACATGTCTCTAGCCCTGTCAGACTTTGGGGATCCGTACATGTCACTAGCCCTGGCAGAGTTTGGGGATCAGTACATGTCGCTAGCCCTGTCGGAGTTTGGGGATCCGTACATGTACATGTCGCTAGCACTGTCAGAGTTTGGGGATCCGTACATTGTCGCTAACCCTGTCAGAGTTTGGGGATCAGTACATGTCGCTAGCCATGTCAGAGTTTGGGGATCCGTGCATGTCTCTAGCTCTGTCAGACTTTGGGGATCCGCACATGTCACTAGCTCTGTCAGACTTTGGGGATCCGCACATGTCACTAGCTCTGTCAGAGTTTGGGTATCCGTACATGTCACTAGCTCTGTCAGAGTTTGGGGATCCGTACATGTTGCTAGCCCTGTCAGCCTTTGGGGATCCATACACAGATTCGTACCAGTATTTGCACATGAAAAATGCATTTAATTTTTAGAAAAACTTACAAAGAAAACATTCATGCAAATCTTACCTTATGTTTGGTACATTTCATAAAAAAAATGATACGATATTCCGATGAAGCAGAATAAACCGGCTTTCAGACTGCTATGTTAAAACTGTCCATATACCGGTTGTTTCAATTGATTGACACATTCGATTCATTTGAATGATCTGTGTTATGTTTCGTTTATCCTGAATATTACCTGTTATCCATGAAGAGTAGTAATCCTTGGCAATGGACAAAGAAGATTCTGCTTTGTCTGAACAGAAGTGTAGAATTCCAGTGAAACACACCAAATGTAAGGTTAGACATGGATATGCTCCTCATCATTTTATTCCCTTCAAATCAATCACATTTTACATCAGTAA